GACTGGGGAAGATGGGAGACTGGGGAAGATGGGAGCCTGGGGAAGATGGGAGCCTGGGGAAGATGAGAGACTGGGGAAGATGGGGAAGATGGGAGACTGGGGAAGATGAGAGACTGGGGCCGATGGGGAAGATGGGAGACTGGGGCCGATGGGAGACTGGGGAAGATGGAGACTGGGGAAGATGGGAGACTGGGGAGACTGGGGAAGATGGGAGACTGGGGAGACTGGGGCCGATGAGAGACTGGGGAAGATGGGAGACTGGGGCCGATGAGAGACTGGGGAAGATGGGAGACTGGGGAAGATGGGAGACTGGGGCCGATGGGAGACTGGGGAAGATGGGAGACTGGGGCCGACGGGAGACTGGGGAAGATGGGAGACTGGGGCCGACGGGAGACTGGGGAAGATGGGAGACTGGGGCCGATGAGAGACTGGGGAAGATGGGAGACTGGGGAAGATGGGAGACTGGGGCCGATGAGAGACTGGGGAAGATGGGAGACTGGGGAAGATGGGAGACTGGGGCCGATGGGAGACTGGGGAAGATGGGAGACTGGTGCCGATGGGAGACTGGGGCCGATGGGAGACTGGTGCCGATGGGAGACTGGGGCCGATGAGAGACTGGGGAGACTGGGGAAGATGGGAGACTGGGGAAGATGTGAGACTGGGGAAGATGGGAGACTGGGGCCGATGAGAGACTGGGGAAGATGGGAGACTGGGGCCGATGGGGAAGATGGGAGACTGGGGCCGATGGGAGACTGGGGCCGATGGGAGACTGGGGAAGATGGGAGACTGGGGAAGATGGGAGACTGGGGAAGATGGGAGACTGGGGAAGATGGGGAAGATGGGAGACTGGGGAAGATGAAAACTGGGGTCGATGGGGGGCCGGGGCCAATGTGGGACCAGGGCTGTTGGGGACCGGGGAAGATGGGAGACTGGGGAAGATGGGAGACTGGGGCCGATGGGAGACTGGGGCCGATGGGAGACTGGGGCTGATGGAAACTGGGGCCGATGGGAGACTGGGGAAGATGGGAGACTGGGGAAGATGGGAGACTGGGGCCGATGGGAGACTGGGGAAGATGGGGAAGATGGGAGACTGGGGCCGATGGGAGACTGGGGAAGATGAGAGACTGGGGAAGATGAGAGACTGGGGAAGATGGGAGACTGGGGCTGATGGGAGACTGGGGAAGATGAGAGACTGGGGAAGATGAGAGACTGGGGCTGATGGGAGACTGGGGCTGATGTAGGGGCATGTATGCGAGACTGGGGAAGGTAAAGATTTAGGGTACGGGGCACATATGCTGCTCTGCCATAACAGAAGTATTTCTAATGAGATTTGTAGATCAATAAATCAGTATGCACTTCAAAAACACTCCCTTAGTTCTAATACTATTAGAATGCTGTTTTCATACATGGTCATATATTGCTGTTACTATGTGATCTTATGATAATATGTGCTATCTGTTCTCCTTCAGGTCTGTACAACAGGGGATACATCTATCTAGACGTGCCCATCTCTGATGCCAGCTGTATTTCAGGTAGCTACTAACAGAGCTATTTTCCAGAGGCACACACTAGTGTTGCACGGTATACAGAAACTTCCAGATTTTTTTTCGATATTAGAACATTAAAAAAACGTTGAAATGTTGAAACTGTCAATTACTGTTTGCAAAACAATGTCCATACAGGCTAGAACACTTTACATTTAAGTCATTTAGCAGACGCTCTTATCCAGAGCGACTTACAGAGACTTTACAATGCAAGCTTTGGGCTGCATCAAGTGAACTCCCCACTCATGCTGCACACAAGTTAACACACTTGAATAATGCGACATGGCATGTTGAAATTTTGAAACTGCTAATTACTGTTCGCAAAAAAAATAATGTCCATACAAGCTAGAACAATGGAAGAGCTTTGTAGGCCAACTTTCCTTTGTAGCTGACAGCTAAAGCTAACCTCAATTCACTAATCTAGTACTTAGTTTGTGATAATATGCAAACCATAACGCAGAATACGCTGATTTCAAAGCTGATTGCCACCAAAACCTAATTCATTTAAGTGTCTCTCACGGTATCGTGCTATTAAACCTGTTATCCAAATGAAATGCTGGTATCGTGGTCCTCTGTAACTCAGCTGGTAGAGCACGGCGCTTGTAATGCCAAGGTAGTGGGTTCGATCCCCGGGACCACCCATACACAAAAAATAATAATGTATGCACGCATGACTGTAAGTCGTTTTGGATAAAAGCGTCTGCTAAATGGCATATTATTATTATTATAACACACACTGTCACGTTCGTTGAAGGACGGGTCACACCAAGGCGCAGCGTGAAATGCACACATGTTTATTTTATAAAATAAACACACAAACAACGTAACGTGAAGTCCTCAGGCTAAACACAATACAAGCCTATACACGGAACAAGATCCCACAACTAATGATACAAACAGGCTGCCTAAGTATGATCCCCAATCAGAGACAACGAGTGACAGCTGCCTCTGATTGGGAATCACACCCGGCCAAACATAGAAATACAACACCTAGACTGAGAACATAGAAAATACACCATAGAACTCCACACCCTGACTCAACATACTAGAGTCCCATAAGTCAGGGCGTGACACACACACACACACACACACACACACACACACACACACAGACAAACACACACACACACACAGACAAACACACACACCTTTTATGGTCCTATATATCTCATACTGTATTAGTGGTTTATTCAGCCAGGCATCGTGGGTAATGGCAGCAGCTCCATGATCTGAGTGAGATATTACAAATCCATTTGGAAGGGAAGGAGCGCTGTCTTAGTTTTCATAACTGTGACCTTAATTGCCTACCGTCTGTAAGCTGTTAGTGTCTTAACGACCGTTCCACAGGTGCATGTTCATTAATTGTTTATGGTTCATTGAACAAGCATGGGAAACAGTGTTTAAACCCTTTACAATGAAGATCTGTGAAGTTATTTGGATTTTTACGAATTATCTTTGAAAGACAGGGTCCTGAAAAGGGGACGTTTCTTTTTTTGCTGAGTTTATAACTGTCTGAGGGCTGTGAAGAGGCCCCACAACATTACCATCTATAACTGTCTGATGGCTGAGGGCTGTGAAGAGGCCCCACAACATTACCATCTATAACTGTCTGATGGCTGAGGGCTGTGAAGAGGCCCCACAACATTACCATCTATAACTGTCTGATGGCTGAGGGCTGTGAAGAGGCCCCACAACATTACCATCTATAACTGTCTGATGGCTGAGGGCTTTGAAGAGGCCCCACAACATTACCATCTATAACTGTCTGATGGCTGAGGGCTTTGAAGAGGCCCCACAACATTACCATCTATAACTGTCTGATGGCTGAGGGCTGTGAAGAGGCCCCACAACATTACCATCTATAACTGTCTGATGGCTGAGGGCTTGTGAAGAGGCCCCACAACATTACCATCTATAACTGTCTGATGGCTGAGGGCTTTGAAGAGGCCCCACAACATTACCATCTATAACTGTCTGATGGCTGAGGGCTTTGAAGAGGCCCCACAACATTACCATCTATAACTGTCTGATGGCTGAGGGCTTTGAAGAGGCCCCACAACATTACCATCTATAACTGTCTGATGGCTGAGGGCTGTGAAGAGGCCCCACAACATTACCATCTATAACTGTCTGAAGAGGCCCCCACAACATTACCATCTATAACTGTCTGAGGGCTTTGAAGAGGCCCCACAACATTACCATCTATAACTGTCTGATGGCTGAGGGCTGTGAAGAGGCCCCACAACATTACCATCTATAACTGTCTGATGGCTGAGGGCTTTGAAGAGGCCCCACAACATTACCATCTATAACTGTCTGATGGCTGAGGGCTGTGAAGAGGCCCCACAACATTACCATCTATAACTGTCTGATGGCTGAGGGCTTTGAAGAGGCCCCACAACATTACCATCTATAACTGTCTGAGGGCTTTGAAGAGGCCCCACAACATTACCATCTATAACTGTCTGATGGCTGAGGGCTGTGAAGAGGCCCCACAACATTACCATCTATAACTGTCTGATGGCTGAGGGCTGTGAAGAGGCCCCACAACATTACCATCTATAACTGTCTGATGGCTGAGGGCTGTGAAGAGGCCCCACAACATTACCATCTATAACTGTCTGATGGCTGAGGGCTTTGAAGAGGCCCCACAACATTACCATCTATAACTGTCTGATGGCTGAGGGCTTTGAAGAGGCCCCACAACATTACCATCTATAACTGTCTGATGGCTGAGGGCTTTGAAGAGGCCCCACAACATTACCATCTATAACTGTCTGATGGCTGAGGGCTGTGAAGAGGCCCCACAACATTACCATCTATAACTGTCTGATGGCTGAGGGCTTTGAAGAGGCCCCACAACATTACCATCTATAACTGTCTGATGGCTGAGGGCTTTGAAGAGACCCCACAACATTACCATCTATAACTGTCTGATGGCTGAGGGCTTTGAAGAGGCCCCACAACATTACCATCTATAACTGTCTGATGGCTGAGGGCTGTGAAGAGGCCCCACAACATTACCATCTATAACTGTCTGATGGCTGTGAAGAGGCCCCACAACATTACCATCTATAACTGTCTGAGGGCTGTGAAGAGGCCCCACAACATTACCATCTATAACTGTCTGATGGCTGAGGGCTTTGAAGAGGCCCCACAACATTACCATCTATAACTGTCTGATGGCTGAGGGCTTTGAAGAGGCCCCACAACATTACCATCTATAACTGTCTGATGGCTGAGGGCTGTGAAGAGGCCCCACAACATTACCATCTATAACTGTCTGATGGCTGAGGGCTTTGAAGAGGCCCCACAACATTACCATCTATAACTGTCTGATGGCTGAGAGCTAAGAATTGTTTGTTCCCTCACGGTTCGTTGCCTGTATGTCTTTTTGTTGTGCTACATCTTTATCCCAGTGCCCCCCCCCCTTGATTATATTATTATTTATTATACAGTATATTATCTATTCATAAATATGATGTATTGTCTCTTAGTGCCCCCCCTGGAAGGCTTCGTGATGAACAGGGTCCAGGGTGACTACTTTGAAACCCTTTTGTACAAAATCTTTGTGTCCATCGATGAGCAGACTAATGTGTCAGAGGTGGGTGAAATCATATTACATCTTAGCCTCGTTGGACCATCCTGGTCTTGAGATCACATCCTGTTTCATACAGTAGGAGCTTGCAGGACGCTCAAACGAGGCTAATGGAATGGAACAATAAGACTTGTGCTCTACTTAACAATGTTTATCGGTGTGTTTTATTATTATTGACTTTATTAAAGTGATTTCAGCCCCATCTAGTGTTGACCCTCTTCCTCTGTGGTGGTTCCATTCCAGCTGGCTAATGTTCTGGAGATCGACTTGGGCCTGGTGAAGGTACGCAACACACATACACTGTTATATTGGCTACTTATAGGACTGTATGTTATTGGGGCCCATCTGAATGTTATATGGGGTGTAAAGACATGCCCTTCCTGTCAGCCCACCCTGAAGGTCTGAAATAAACTACATCAAAACTACGGCTACAGGGCTCTGGTCTAAAGTAGTGCACTATATAGGGAATAGGGTGTCATTCTCTGGTCTAAAGTAGTGCACTATATAGGGAATAGGGTGCCATTCTCTGGTCTAAAGTAGTGCACTATATAGGGAATAGGGTGCCATTCTCTGGTCTAAAGTAGTGCACTATATAGGGAATAGGGTGCCATTCTCTGGTCTAAAGTAGTGCACTATATAGGGAATAGGGTGCCATTCTCTGGTATTCTCTCATAGTTGACGTGTACCTATGATGAAAATTACAGGCCTCTCTCATCTTTTTAAGTGGGAGAACTTGCACAATTGGTGGCTGACTAAATACTTTTTTCCCCCACTGTATATGCAGAGACCTGTTTGATTTGAGTACCATCCAAGCTAGTGATTACAAAAGTGTTTCTAATTGAGAGTTTAGACCTAGAAAAAAACATGACATTTGTTTTCTTAGCGTTTAAAACAAGTTTAAGCTGTAAAAGAGACCCCTGTAGTATCCTAAAATTAGACTCCAACTGCATTATACAGTGGGGGAAAAAATTATTTAGTCAGCCACCAATTGTGCAAGTTCTCCCACTTCAAAAGATGAGAGGCCTGTAATTTTCATCATAGGTACACGTCAACTATGACAGACAAATTGAGGAAATTTTTTCCAGAAAATCACATTGTAGGATTTTTTATTAATTTATTTGTAAATTATGGTGGAAAATAAGTAGTTGGTCAATAAAAAAAGTTTCTCAATACTTTGTTATATACCACTTGTTGGCAATGACACAGGTCAAACGTTTTCTGTAAGTCTTCACAAGGTTTTCACACACTGTTGCTGGTATTTTGGCCCATTCCTCCATGCAGATCTCCTCTAGAGCAGTGATGTTTTGAGGCTGTCGCTGGGCAACACAGACTTTCAACTCCCTCCAAAGATTTTCTATGGGGTTGAGATCTGGAGACTGGCTAGGCCACTCCAGGACCTTGAAATGCTTCTTACGAAGCCACTCCTTCGTTGCCTGGGCGGTGTGTTTGGGATCATTGTCATGCTGAAAGACCCAGCCATGTTTCATCTTCAATGCCCTTGCTGATGGAAGGAGGTTTTCACTCAAAATCTCACGATACATGGCCCCATTCATTCTTTCCTTTACACGGATCAGTCGTCCTGGTCCCTTTGCAGAAAAACAGCCCCAAAGCATGATGTTTCCACCCCCATGCTTCACAGTAGGTATGGTGACAGGTCTGTGAGAGCCAGAAATCTTGCTTGTTTGTAGGTGACCAAATACTTATTTTCCACCATAATTTGCAAATAAATTCATTAAAAATCCTACAATGTGATTTTCTGGATTTTTTTTCTCAGTTTGTCTGTCATACTTGACGTGTCCCTATGATGAAAAATTACAGGTCTCTCTCATCTTTTTAAGTGGGAGAACTTGCACAATTGGTGGCTGACTAAATATTTTTTTCTCCCCACTGTAGCTTGGTCCGCTGTTGGAGCAATAGAGCACATCACTGGGTCATCTGCATATAAATGGAATTTACAATATCTGACATCATCACCAATGTTGTTTATATAAAGTGAGAACAATAGTGGGCCAATTATTGAACCCTGAGGGACCCCTTTAAGTAACTGTAAGGGGTCAGACTTGACCCCGTCGACCATGACGGCCTGAGTTCTATCTTTAAGATAGTCATAAAACCATCGACAGGCATCAGTGCCCAGTCCTATAGATGACAGCTTACTCAAAAGGATAGCATGGTCTACAGTGTCAAAAGCTTTTGACAAATCTCCAAACAACGCAGCACAGTGCTTTCTATCATCTAAGGCATTTGCAATATCATTTACAACAAGCATAGTGGCCGATGTGGTACTGTGTTTAGATCTAAAACCAGATTGATTGGTGCTAAAAATACTGTTAACAGAAAGAAAAGATTGTAACTGTTTGTTGACTATAGATTCTAGGATCTTTGCCAGACAAGGGAGCCTAGAGATGGGTCGATAGTTATCCAAATCACTACCGTCACCTCCCTTATGTAACGGCAGAACAAAAGCTGCTTTCCACACCTTAGGGATATTTCCTGTGCTTAATGTTTTTCTTTATTTTTACTATTTTCTACATTGTAGAATAATAGTGAAGACATCAAAACTATGAAATAACACACATATGGAATCATGTAGTAACCAAAAAAGTGTTAAACAAATAAAATATATTTTTGATTTTTCAAAGTAGACACGCTTTGCCTTGATGACAGCTTTGCACACTCTTGGCATTCTCTCAACCAGCTTCATGAGGTAGTCACCTGGAATGCTTTTCCAACAGTTTTGAAGGAGTTCCCACATATGCTGAGCACTTGTTGCCTGCTTTTCCTTCACTCTGCGGTCCAACTCATCCCAAACCATCTCAATTTGGTTGAGGTCGGGTGATTGTGGAGGCCAGGTCATCTGATGCAGCACTCCATCACTCTCCTTCTTGGTAAAATAGCCCTTACACAGCCAGGAGTTGTGTTGGGTCATTGTCCTGTTGAAAAACAAATGATAGTCCCACTAAGCCCAGACCAGATGGGATGGCGTATCACTGCAGAATGCTGTGGTAGCCATGCTGGTTAAGTGTGCCTTGAATTCTAAATACATTCCTGGCATACAGCTTCTGCCTGTACACTGTTATTTTAATAGTCCTGTTCTCTCACCCTCCCCCTCTCTCTCTCCCTCCCTCCCCCTCTCTCTCTCCCTCCCTCCCCCTCTCCCAGAATGCTGTGTCTATGTACTGTCGTCTGGGCTTTGCCCTGAAGAAAGGAGACTCGTTCAGCTCAGAGCAGCTCCACCCCACATGGAAGAGTGCCCCCTCTGTCAACAGACTCAAGTAGGTCTTCCATACCACTTGAAGCCCTTTATGGAAGCCTGTTGAGGGCCAAATCCACAAACATTTGGGTCCGTGAGCCTCTTTTAAAGCCTCTTGGGACACATGTAACACAACTCCAAACCCAAGGGGATGTCAATACCCTGAATACAATAACAGATTTAAAGCACATTATTAAATCACATCCGCACTATAAGACACAAGCCCCCTAACACAGACACAGCCCCAGTGTAAGACACAAGCCCCCTAACACAGACACAGCCCCAGTGTAAGACACAAGCCCCCTAACACCCACACAGCCCCACTATAAGACACAAGCCCCCTAACACCCACACAGCCCCACTATAAGACACAAGCCCCCTAACACAGACACAGCCCCAGTGTAAGACACAAGCCCCCTAACACCCACACAGCCCCACTATAAGACACAAGCCCCCTAACACCCACACAGCCCCACTATAAGACACAAGCCCCCTAACACAGACACAGCCCCAGTGTAAGACACAAGCCCCCTAACACAGACACAGCCCCACTATAAGACACAAGCCCCCTAACACAGACACAGCCCCACTATAAGACACAAGCCCCCTAACACAGACACAGCCCCAGTGTAAGACACAAGCCCCCTAACACCCACACAGAGCCCCAGTGTAAGATACAAGCCCCCTAACACAGACACAGCCCCAGTGTAATGTATGTGTGGGGTTTCCCGCCCCGTGTCCCAGGAGCACCGTGGACCCCAAACAGATGCTGCTGTCGTGGGAACAGGGGAGTCCTGTGACGGAGGCTGGATCCTCGGCTACGGACACCACCAGCATGGAGGACCAAGGTGAGCGTCTCCGCTGTCACAAGCCCTGGCTCTGGCCCAGGCTGCCCAAAATAACCCCTGAGTAGGGCGGCTCTAGCCTGATCCCAGGTCTGTTTGTGCTGTCTTAAGGTTGTTGTCATGCAAAACAGTACAATCCACAGCATCATGGGATTATGAGTTCTTCTCTCTCTGTGTGTTAGACAACGCCAGTGTGAGCAGCCTGAGTATCCCTGGTCCTGCTGCTCCGCCCACCAAGAGGATCGCCTTCCTGTTTGACTCCACCCTCACTGCCTTCCTCATGATGGGTAACCTCTCTCCGGTACGTACCCTGACCCTTAACCCCTAACCCTCACTGCCTTCCTCATGATGGGTAACCTCTCTCCGGTACGTACCCTGACCCTTAACCCCTAACCCTCACCGCCTTCCTCATGATGGGTAACCTCTCTCCGGTACGTACCCTGACCCTGACCCTTAACCCCTAACCCTCACCACCTTCCTCATGATGGGTAACCTCTCTCCGGTACGTACCCTGACCCTTAACCCCTAACCCTCACCACCTTCCTCATGATGGGAAACCTCTCTCCGGTACGTACCCTGACCCTTAACCCCTAACCCTCACCGCCTCCTCATGATGGGTAACCTCTCTCCGGTACTACCCTGACCCTGACCCTTAACCCCTAACCCTCACCGCCTTCCTCATGATGGGTAACCCTCTTTTCCGGTACGTAACCCCGACCCTTACACCCCTAACCCTCACACCCCTTCCTCATGATGGAAACCTCTCTCCGGTACGTACCCTGACCCTTAACCCCTAACCCTCACCGCCTTCCTCATGATGGGTAACCCCCCCTCTCCGGTACGTACCCCCGACCCTGACCCTTACCCCTAACCCTCACCGCCTTCCTCATGATGGTACCCTCTCTCCGGTACGTACCCTGACCCTTAACCCCTAACCCTCACCACCTTCCTCATGATGGGAACCTCTCTCGGTACGTACCTGACCCTTAACCCCTAACCCTCACCGCCTTCCTCATGATGGGTACCTCTCTCCCGGTACGACCTACCCTACCTAACCCCTAACCCTCACCACCTCATGATGGGTAACCTCTCTCCGGTACGTACCTGACCTAACCCTAAACCCCTCACCGCCTTAACCCTCATCCGCTCCTCATGGGGGTAACCTCTCCTCCGGTACGTCCCTAACCCTGACCCTTAACCCCTAACCCTCACCGCCTTCCTCATGATGGGTAACCTCTCTCCGGTACGTCCCACCCCCCTAAACGCCTGACCTCTCCCAACCTAACCCCTAACCTTCATCACCCCTCCTCCGCCTTCCTCTAACCCGACCCTACCCTACCCTCCGCTTCCTCATGATGGGTAACCTCTCTCCGGTACGTACCCTAACCTGACCCTTAACCCCTAACCCTCACCACCTCCTCATGATGGGGAACCTCTCTGGTACGGACCCTACCCTGACTTACACCCCTAACCCTCACCACCTTCCTCATGATGGGGAACCATCTCTCCGGGTACATACACCTGACCCTGACCCTTAACCCCTAACCATCACCACCTCCTCATGATGGGGACACCTTCTACTTCCAGGTACGTAACCCTAACCCTGACCCTTAACCCCTAACCCTCACCACCTTCCTTCATGAGGGGGAAACCTCTCTCCGGTCAGTATATTGTTTCTTATAGATTAATATGTTAGCTAGATCGTTTTAACGCTATATTGGTATCGGCCGATAATTCCACCGATAACCGGTATCCAATAAATAGGATGAAAAAAGGTAATCTCATGCTTATTTGAACACTTGTGGTCATTCTCATGATGTCATTATTGTAAGAAATCAACATTTTAAGCATTTTTTTTGTTGTTGACAATTTCTCTTTTGGATGACAATTTATGAGAATTCAGTGTGGGAAAATGACAATTTTTCATTTCCCCGCTGTAAAACAATATATCAGCAGATGTATTCGGTAAGTTTCCGCAAAAAATTGGTATCGGATCCCAAAAAACATATCGGTCAGGCTCTAGTGGTGGTAGTAGTGGTAGCTCAGTTGGTAGAGCATGGCGCTTGCAACGCCAGGGTTGTGGGTTCGATTCCCACGGGGGGCCAGTATGAAGAAAAAAAAACATGTATGCACTCACTAACTGTAAGTCGCTCTGGATAAGAGCGTCTGGTAAATGACTAAAATGTAAATGTAAAATGGTGGTAGTAGTGGTGGTAGTAGTGGTAGTGGTGGTGGTGGTGGTAGTGATAGTAGCGGTAGTAGTAGTGATAGCAGTGATAGTAGTGATAGTAGTGGTAGTAGTAGCGGTAGTGGTAGTAGTGGTGTTAGTAGTAGTAGTAGTAGTGATAGTAGCGGTAGTAGTAGTGGTGGTGGTAGTGGTAGTAGTATTAGTGGTAGTAGTGATAGTAGTGGTGGTAGTAGTAGTAGTGATAGTAGTGGTAGTGATAGTAGTAGTGGTGGTGGTGGTGGTAGTAGTAGTAGTAGTAGTAGTGACAGTAGTAGTATTAGTGGTGGTGGTGGTAGTAGTAGTGGAGTAAAAATTACAGAGTAAATGTCTAATTAAAAAGTCTAATTGAAGAAAATGTTACTCTGCCAGATAATGCTCCCTGTCTAAAAATAGTCAAATCTACTCTGGCAGCAGTGTTTTTTTCAGAGGTGTATTTGCTCAATTTAGTGTTGATATTTACAGTGCCTCCAGAAAGTATTCATACCCCTTCAGAAAGTATTCATACCCCTCCAGAAAGTATTCATACCCCTTCAGAAAGTATTCATACCCCTTCAGAAAGTATTCATACCCCTTCAGAAAGTATTCATACCCCTCCAGAAAGTATTCATACCCCTTCAGAAAGTATTCATACCCCTCCAGAAAGTATTCATACCCCTTCAGAAAGTATTCATACCCCTCCAGAAAGTATTCATACCCCTTCAGAAAGTATTCATACCCCTTCAGAAAGTATTCATACCCCTTCAGAAAGTATTCATACCCCTCCAGAAAGTATTCATACCCCTTCAGAAAGTATTCATACCCCTCCAGAAAGTATTCATACCCCTTCAGAAAGTATTCATACCCCTTCAGAAAGTATTCATACCCCTTCAGAAAGTATTCATACCCCTTCAGAAAGTATTCATACCCCTCCAGAAAGTATTCATACCCCTTCAGAAAGTATTCATACCCCTCGACTTATTCCTCATATTGTTGACTTACAGCCTGTAAGGTCTACACCTGTTTTTTTCGGCGCATGTGACATAAAATTTGATTTGATTTGAACATTTGATTTGAATTCAAAATGGATTAAATATGTTTTTTTTCACCCATCTACAGACAATACCCCATAATGATTAAGTGAAAATATGTTTTTAGAAATGTTAGCAAATTTCTTGAAAATCTAATACAGAAATATCACATTTACATAAGTATTCACACCTCTGAGCCAATACTTTGTAGAAGCACCTTTGGCGGCGATTACAGCTGTGAGTCTTTCTGGGTAAGTCTTTAAGAGTGTTGCTCACCTGCATTGTACAATATTTATCCATTATTCTTTTTAAAATTCTTCAGGCTCTGACAAGTTCATTGTTGATCATTACTAGACAGCCATTTTCAAATCTTGCCATAGATTTTCAAGACGATTTAAGTCAAAACTCAGGAACATTCAATGTCGTCTTAGTAACCAACTCCAGTGTAGATTTGGCCTTGTGTTTTAGGTTATTGTCCTACTGAAAGGTGAATTTGTCTCCCAGTGTCTGGTAGAAAGCAGACTGAACCAGGTTTTCCTCTAGGATTTTGCCTGCGCTTAGCTCCATTCCATTAATTTTATCCCAAAAAAAACACCCCAGTCCTTGCTGATGACAAGCAATACCCATAACATGATGCAGCCACCACCATGCTTGATGCAATTTTGCGCCATGGAAAAGTCAAGGGGTGTGAATACTTTCTGAAGGCACTGTAAGTCTTTTTATTGTTGCTGAACTAACTACATGATCTTCATTGGCCAATATAACTTGCAGGATATCATGGTAGCCAATGTTTGTATTTACTGCTGCTAGCTAGTAGTAGCACTCAGCTTAGCATGTGGCTAGCTATAGCTACCATCGGCCAACAGAGTTCTGGCCAGTTTGGCTATAGATGTTCAATGTCTGCTATGATAAACCTTGACTATCTTGATTTTGTGTAACAGTACGTGAAATGCTGATGTGCTGAACCCCTAATAAGTGATGTGTTTCATGGCTGCTAGTGGTTAGCTAGTAGGGTTAAGCCAGCAGGGGTTTAAAATGATCTATGGTAGAAGCCTGCAGGTAAAGAGTCTATGGTAGAAGCCTGCAGGTAAAGAGTCTATGGTAGAAGCCTGCAGGTAAAGAGTCTATGGTAGAAGCCTGCAGGTAAAGAGTCTATGGTAGAAGCCTGCAGGTAAAGTACCTGGCGGCGACAAAGATGGCGGCCTCATGACTAGCTGTTAGGAAACTTTGCGGTATTTCGTTTTTTTAATGTATTTTTTTTACATTATTAGCTCAGAAAGTGTTTTGTATCATTACATACAGCCGGGAAAAACTATTGGATATCAGAGTGGCGGTAACTCACCAGAACTACCAGCATTACGACCAGCAATACAACTTTCCCGAAGCAGTTCCTTTGTTTGCTCTCCCCAAAGCAATTGAACTGATTCCAGCGGCTGACCCAAAACATCTCCGGCGGAGGAGAGGCACTCGGAGCGGCCTGCTGGTTCGACTTAGGAAGCGCGCACACCACCCACCGCTTCCAAATATATTACTCGCTAATGTTCAGTCTTTGGATAACAAAGTCGACGAGCTCAGGGCAAGGATTTTTTTCCAGAAAGACATCAGGGCCTGTAACATATTTTGTTTCACGTTAACATGTCTCTCTTGGGATATTCTGTCAGAATCGGTCCAGCCAGATGGGTTCTCAGTTCATCGCGCAGACAGGAATAAATATCTCTCCGGGAAGCAGAAGGGCGGAGGTGTGTGTTTCATGATTAACGACTCATGGTGTAATTGTAATAACATAGAGGAACTCGAGTCCTTCTGTTCACCCGACCTAGAATACCTCACAATCAAATGCCGACCGTATTATCTCCCAAGATAATTTTCTTCTGTTATAGTCATGGCCGTGTATATCCCCCCTCAAGCCGATACCACGACGGCCCTCAAAGAACTTCACTGGACCTTATGCAAACTGGAAACCACATATCCTGAGGCTGCATTTATTGTAGCCGGGGATTTTAACAAAGCTAATTTGAGGACTAGGCTGCCGAAGTTCTATCAACATATCGAGTGTTGTACTCGGGCTGCTAAAATCCTCGACCATTGCTATTCAAACTTCCGGGATGGTTATAAGGCCCTCCCCCGCCCTCCTTTCGGCAAATCTGACCAAGACTCCATTTCCTTCCTATAGGTAGAAACTCAAACAGGAAGTACCCATGCTAAGGACTATTCAACGCTGGTCTGACCAATCGGAATCCACGCTTCAAGATTGTTTTGATCACGCAGACTGGGATATGTTCCGGGTTGCTTGCGAAAATAATTTAGACGAATACACTGAAACGGTGACTTAGTTTATCATGAAGTGTATAGGAGATGTTGTGCCCACTGTGACTATTAAAACCTACCCTAACCAGAAACTTTGGATAGATGGAAGCATTGGCGCAAAACTGAAAGCGCGAACCACCGCATTCAACCATGGCAAGGTGACTGGGAATATGGATGAATACAAACAGTGTAGCTACTCACTCCGCAAGGCAATTAAACTGGCAAAACATCAGTATAGAGACAAAGTGGAGTCGCAATTCAACGGCTCAGACACGAGACGTATGTGGGAGGGTCTACAGACAATCACGGACTACAAAAGGAAAACCAGCCACGTCGCCGACACCGACGTCTTGCTTCCGGACAAGCTAAACACCTTCTTCGCCCGCTTTGAGGATAACACAGTGCCACCGACGAGGCCCACTACCAAGGACTGTGGCCTCTCCTTCTCCGTGGCCGACGTGAGTAAGACATTTAAGCATGTTAACCCCCGCAAGGCTGCCGGCCCAGAACGCATCCCTAGCCGTGTCCTCAGAGCATGCGCAGACCAGCTGGCTGGTGTGTTTACGGACATATTCAATCTCTCCCTTTCCCAGTCTGCTGCCCCCACATGCTTCAAGATGTCCACCATTGTCCCTGTACCCAAGAAAGCAAAGGTAACTGAACTAAATGACTATAGCCCTGTAGCACTCACCTCTGTCATCATGAAGTGCTTTGAGAGACTAGTCAAGGATCATATCACCTCTACCTTACCTGTCACCCTAGACCCACTTCAATTTGCTTACCGCCCCATTATATCCACAGACGATGCAATCGCCATCACACTGCACACTGCCCTATCCCATCTGGACAAGAGGAATACCTATGTAATAATGCTGTTCATTGACTATAGCTCAGCATTCAACACCATAGTACCCTCCAAGCTCATCATTAAGCTCGAGGCCCTGAGTCTGAACCCCGCCCTGTGCAACTGGGTCCTGGACTTCCTGACGGGCCGCCCCCAGGTGGTGAAGATAGGAAACAACATCTCCACTTACAGTGAGGGAAAAAAGTATTTGATCCCCTGCTGATTTTGTACGTTTGCCCACTGACAAAGATATTATCCGTCTATAATTTTTATGGTAGGTTTATTTGAACAGTGAGAGACAAAATAACAACAAAAAATCCAGAAAAACGCATGTCAAAAATGTTATAAATTGATTGACACCGAATGGAAAGAAATACTAGCCCGGGTCAAGAACTGACAGGAAAGCGAATGATGCGTGCATAATTCTCAATAGCAGGTGATTTTATCTTTCATTTGCGAGCTGAGCAAGTAGCCTATACAGAGTTCATACAGACATTGGCAAGTCAAATTCAAGGACTTTTTCAAGGACCGACATTTTTTATTGAATTGTTGTAATAGGCTATATATATACAGTGCATTCGGAAAGTATTCAGACCCCTTGACTTTTTCCACATTTTGTTACGTTCTCATCAATCTACCCCATAATGACAAAGCAAAAACAGGATGTTCGATCGGGGTCAAGTCCGGGCTCTGGCAGGGCCACTCAAGGACATTCAGAGACTTGTCCCGAAGCCACTCCTGCGTTGTCTTGGCTGTGTGCATAGGGTCGTTGTCCTGTTGGAAGGTGAACCTTTGCCCCCAGTCAGGTCCTGAGCGCTCTGGAACAGGTTTTCATCAAGGATCTCTCTGTACTTTGCTCTGTTCATCTTTCCCTCATTCCTGACTAGTCTCCTAGTCCCTGCCACTGAAAACATTCCCACAGCATGATGCTGCCACCACCATGCTTCACCGTAGGGATGGTGCCAGGTTTCCTCCAGACATGACGCTTGGCATTCAGGCCAAAGAGTTCAATCTTGGTTTCATCAGACCAGAGAATCTTGTTTCTCATGGTCTGAGAGTCCTTTAGGTGCCTTTTGGCAAACTCCAAGCAGGCTGTCATGTGCCTTTTACTGAGGAGTGGCTTCCGTCTGGCTACTCTACCATCAAGGCCTGATTGGTGGAGTGCTGCAGAGATGGTTGTCCTTCTGGAAGGTTCTCCCATCTCCACAGAGGAACTCTGGAGCTCTGTCAGAGTGACCATCGGGTCCTTGCTCACCTCCCTGACCAAGGCCCTTCTCCCCCGATTCTTCAGTTTGGCCGGGCGGCCAGCTCTAGGAAGAGTCTGGGTGGTTACAAACTTCTTCCATTTAAGAATGATGGAAGCCACTGTGTTCTTGGGGACCTTCAATGCTGCAGACATTTTATGGTACCCTTCCCTAGATCTGTGCCTCGACACAATCCTGTCTCGGACCTCTACGGACAATTCCTTCGACCTCATGGCTTGGTTTTTGCTCTGACATGCACTGTCAACTGTGGGACCTTATATAGACAGGTCTGTGCCTTTCCAAATCATGTCCAATCAATTCAATTTACCACAGGTGGACTCCAATCAAGTTGTAGAAACATCTCAAGGATGATCAATGGAAACAAGATGCACCTGAGCTCAATTTCGAGTCGCATAGCAAAGGGTCTGAATACTTATAATACCCCACAATACCCCATAATAAGGTATTACAAAAAAATAAAAATAAAGTAAAATACATTTGCAAACATTTCTAAAAACCTGTTTTTGCAATGTCATTATGGGGTATTGTGTGTAGATTGATTAGATAAAAAAAAAAAAAAAAAATCATTATAGAATAAGGCTGTAACGTAACGTAATGTGGAAAAGGTCAAGGGGTCTGAATACTTTCCGAATGCACTGTATATTTAAAAGAAACTCCCCCCAAAATGTATGCTATAAAAGTATGCATTGCCACTTTAAGAGTAATGCCTTTTTTTATAGGCTAATTGCATTATGCATTGACATTCACATTCTAAAATATGTGGGCTGAATAATGTGGGCTGACTAATTAGACAGCATGCTCCCCACACAAACACACTAATGAAGTCTGTCCGTGTGGTTGCTAGTCAGTCTCTCCATTTGAGATGTTGAAGAGTTATTGAGGGTTACTGTATCATGTTTTAAAGATGAGAAAGCCCTTTGTAATGGAACACTTTGTATGGAAAACCAAGTTGAAGCCAACAGTTGATGTCACCTTGCTCATAATAACCGCACATGGTTTTACCGCAACAGACTAGCGCAACACCCTTCAATTGAAACGGCGAGAAACCATTATGGCAACCATTATGGCAATGGTCTATTTGCATATAGGCCTACTGCAGCTCTGATTGGTTATGGTCTGTGTAGAGGACGGGCCTGTCAATGGAATCCTAGTCAATGGAATCCTACTCCTGCATAGTTAGTTTTGCATACTAAGTCTTGCGTAGTTCATTCTGTTTCGGTATGTTGCATTGAAAGTGGCTAATGTTGCATTGATTCGATCACAATTTCTACAGTAGAATAGGCTACTGTGAAAGTGTTAACTAAGGGGGGAAACTCTAGAGAGTTGAGGGAAGTTCAATCTGGTGCTTCTCTGCCTTAGTCCTGGGGGTGCCTTAGTCCTGGGGGTGCCTTAGTCCTGGGGGTGCCTTAGTCCTGGGGGTGCACAGCTTATAGGGAACGTTGTCAATAAGGAAAACAAAAAGCAAATTGTGAACCAAAAACGAACGTGAAAAAAAAAATACTGGCACCCTTGCGACCAAAAAAACTAAATTAAAAAAAATGTGATGATGCTTTACCCAACCTTGTACATTGTACTATTACAACTATTAAGAGTAGGTTTAAAGCCAGTCTCAGTTCCCAGTTTGGGGACCACTGGACTGAACCATGGTTCTGTTCTCCCCTCAGAACCTGAAGAGCCATGCGGTCACCATGTTTGAGGTGGGGAAGCTGTCTGACGAGACCCTGGACAGCTTTCTGATGGAGCTGGAGAAAGTAAGCTGTGTGTGTGATTGAGCTAAAGAGAATAAGCCTTCATTACTATGCTTCATGGGAACTAAGCCAGTCGCTGGAGGTGACAAACCAATTGACACAGAGGGGTCGTAGAGGGGGAGACAGCAATACAACAGGCTCACAGGGGCAGACTCACATTTGTACACATGACAGACACAGGAACACACACACACACACACACACACACACACACACACAGAGGGCGTGGCCCATGTAACCCCTCTCTCTCTGTGTCTCTCTCTCTCCTCTCTCTCTCTCTCTCTCTCTCCTCTCCTCTCTCTCTTCTCTCTCTCTCTCTCTCTCTCTCCCCCCCCCTCCATCAGGTAGAGAGCACAGCGGAGGGCGAGGCCCAGAGGTATTTTGACCACGCTCTGACCCTCAGGAACACCATCCTGTTTCTCCGCTACAACAAGGAGCTGACCACCGATCAGGGCCCTGACCTGCCTAACAACGGTAACTAACAACACAGCTTACGCCTCTTCCTTTAGTCAGGAAGCAATAACTATGATTACACCCTCTTCCTGTAGTCAGGAAGCAATAACTATGATTACACCCTCTTCCTGTAGTCAGGAAGCAATAACTATGATATACACCCTCTTCTGTAGTCAGGAAGCAATAACGATGATTACACCCCTTCCTGTAGTCAGGAAGCAGTAACTATGATTACACCCTCTTCCTGTAGTCAGGAAGCAATAACTATGATTACACCCTTTCCTGTAGTCAGGAAGCAATAACTATGATTACACCCCTCTTCCTGTAGTCAGGAAGCAGTAACTATGATTACACCCTCTTCCTGTAGTCAGGAAGCAATAACTATGATTACACCCTCTTCCTGTAGCCAGGAAGCAGTAACTATGATTACACCCTCTTCCTGTAGTCAGGAAGCAATAACTATGATTACACCCTCTTCCTGTAGTCAGGAAGCAATAACTATGATTACACCCTCTTCCTGTAGTCAGGAAGCAATAAACTATGATTAACCCTCTTCCTGTAGTCAGGAAGCAATAACTATGATTACACCCTCTTCCTTTAGTCAGGAAGCAATAACTATGATTACACCCTCTTCCTGTAGTCAGGAAGCAATAACTATGATTACACCCTCTTCCTGTAGTCAGGAAGCAATAACTATGATTACACCCTCTTCCTGTAGTCAGGAAGCAGTAACTATGATACACCCCTCTTCTGTAGTCAGGAAGCAGTAACTATGATTACACCCTCTTCCTGTAGTCAGGAAGCAATAACTATGATTACACCCTCTTCCTGTAGTCAGGAAGCAATAACTATGATTACACCCTCTTCCTGTAGCCAGGAAGCAATAACTATGATTACACCCTCTTCCTTTAGTCAGGAAGCAATAACTATGATTACACCCTCTTCCTGTAGCCAGGAAGCAATAACTATGATTACACCCTCTTCCTTAAGTCCTGGCAAGCAATAACTATGATTACCACCCTCTTCCTTTAGCCAGGAAGCAATAACTATGATTACACCCTCTTCCTGTAGCCAGGAAGCAATAACTATGATTACACCCCTCTTCCTTTAGTCAGGAAGCAATAACTATGGATTACACCCTCTTCCTGTAGCCAGGAAGCAATAAACTATGAAGGACACCCTCTTCCTGTAGTCAGGAAGCAAAACTATGATTACACCCTCTTCCTGTAGCCAGGAAGCAATAACTATGATTACACCCTCTTCCTTTAGTCAGGAAGCACATAACTATGATTACACCCTCTTCCTGTCGTCAGGAAGGCAATAACTATGATTCCAACCCTCTTCCTGTAGTCAGGACAGCAATAAACTATGATTACACCCTCTTCCTGTAGTCAGGAAGCCAATAACATTGATTTTTTGTTTTTAACACCCTCTTCCTGTAGTCAGGAAGCAATAACTATGATTACACCCTCTTCTGTGTGTTAAAACTAGTTAGAATTAAAAATGAAAGTTGTTAGAAAATCTATGAGTGCAGTGGTATAAGTACACTGAACAAAAATATAAACGCAACATGTAAAGTGTTGGTCCCACCATGTTCCATGAGGTGAAATAAAAGATCCCAGAAATGTTCCATACGCACAAAATGCTTATTTCTCTCAAATGTTGTGCACAAATTTGTTTACATCCCTGTTAGTGAGCATTTATTATTTGCCAAAATAACCCATCCACCTGACAGGTGTGGCATATCAAGAAGCTGATTAAACAGCATGATCATTTCACAGGTGCACCTTGTGCTGGGGACAATAAAAGGCCACTCTAAAATGTGCGGTTTTGTCACACAACACAATGCCACAGATGTCTCAAGTTTTGAGGCAGTGTGAAATTGGCATGCTGACTGCAGGAATGTCCACCAGAGCTGTTGCCAGATAATTGAATGTTAATTTCTCTACCATAAGCCGCCTCAACGTCATTTTAGAGAATTTTGCAGTAAGTCCAACTGGCTGCATGAGGCAAATGGTGGTCACACCAGATACTGACTGGTTTTCTGATCCACGCCCCTACCTTTCTTTAAAGGTATTTGTGACCACCGATGCATATCTGTATTCCCAGTCATGTGAAATCCATAGATTAGGGCCTAATGAATTTATTTCATTTGACTGATTTCCTTAAATGAACTGTAACTAGTAAAATCTTTGAAATTGTTGCATGTTGCGCTTACATTTATGTTCAGTGTAGATAGTAGCTTTAACATCCTGTCGGGTTATTACTGTTTTTGGTGCTTTTTTGTTTTGTTGGGTGCTTTAATCAAGTCAAGTTTATTCACATTCAGTTATTGTGACTGTTTCTTTTTCGGTCTGTGTAAATGAAATACAACAGGTCTGAGTGTGATGAAAACAACATCCAGAGACACTCTAATATTCAGAATCGACAGACCTTTTGTTTGTGTATAGTGCTGCTGGATTTGATTGATCTCTGTGTGTGACGTGTCCGTCAGGGTTTTTGTAGGCCGGTAATAGACGGCTTTTGACCGATCCAAAAATAGAAATGCTGATAAATAAAGTTGAAAATGCTTTTTAGGCTCTTCACTGATGGAAATATCAGTCAATGTAAATACATTGGACTGGTCATGCTCAGCGGTCAATAGGTACATTTGCACAATTTAATGGGATTAAATACAGTATATTCATTATATATCTTATTTATCACACGCATACAGCATACAGATACAGTGAGGGAAAAAAGTATTTGATCCCCTGCTGATTTTGTACGTTTGCCCACTGACAAAGAAATTATCAGTCTATAATTTTAATGGTAAGTTTATTTGAACAGTGAGAGACAGAATAACAACAAAAAATCCAGAAAAATGCATGTCAAAAATGTTATAAATTGATTTGCATTTTAATGAGGGAAATAAGTATTTGACCCCCTCTCAATCAGAAAGATTTCTGGCTCCCAGGTGTCTTTTATACAGGTAACGATAAAATAACCGCGATTATAACCGCGGTTATAACCGCGATTGATAATAGACAGTACTGTGCAGCCGTCTTCATCGACCTGGCCAAGGCTTTCGACTCTGTCAACCACCGCATTCTTATTAGCAGACTAAATAGCCTTGGTTTCTCAAATGACTGCCTCGCCTGGTTCACCAACTACTTCTCAGATAGAGTTCAGTGTGTCAAATCGGAGGGCCTGTTGTCTGGACCTATGGCAGTCTCTATGGGGGTGCCACAGGGTTCAATTCTAGGGCCGACTCTATTCTCTGTGTATGTCAATGACGTCGCTCTTGCTGCTGGTGACTCTCAGATCCACCTCTACGCAGACGACACCATTTTGTATACATCTGGCCCTTCATTGGACACTGTGTTAACAAACCTCCAAACGAGCTTCAATGCCATACAACACTCCTTCAGTAGCCTCCAACTGCTCTTAAACACTAGTAAAACTAAATGCATGCTTTTCAATCGAACGCTGCTGGCACCCGCCCACCCGACTAGAATCACCACTCTCGACGGGTCTGACCTAGAGTATGTGGACAACTACAAATACCTAGGTGTCTGGTTAGACTGTAAACTCTCCTTCCAGACTCACATTAAGCATCTCCAATCCAAAGTTAAATCTAGAATCGGTTTCCTATTTTGCAACAAAGCCTCCTTCACTCATGCTGCCAAACATGCCCTCGTAAAACTGACTATCCTACCGATCCTTGACTTCGGCGATGTCATTTACAAAATAGCCTCCAACACTCTACTCAGCAAATTGGATGTAGTCTATCACAGTGCCATCCGTTTTGTCACCAAAGCCTCATATACTACCCACCACTGTGACCTGTACGCTCTTGTTGGCTGGTCCTCACTACATGTTCGTCGTCAAACCCACTGGCTCCAGGCCATCTATAAATCACTGCTAGGCAAATCCCCGCCTTATCTTAGCTCATTGGTCACCATAGCAGTACCCACCCGTAGTCTGCGCTCCAGCAGGTATATCTCACTGGTCATCCCCAAAGCCAACACCTCCTTTGGCCGCCATTCCTTCCAGTTCTCTGCTGCCAATGACTGGAACGAATTGCAAAAATCTCTGAAGCTGGAGACTCTTATCTCCCTCACTAACTTTAAGCATCAGTTGTCAGAGCACCTTACCGATCACTGCACCTGTACACAGCCCATCTGAAATTAGCCCACCCAACTACCTCATCCCTATATTGTTATTTATTTTGCTCTTTTGCACCCCAGTATCTCTATTTGCACATAATCTCTTGCACATCTAGCATTCCAGTGTTAATACTATTGTAATTATTTTTGCACTATGGCCCATTTATTGCCTTACCTCCATAACTTGCTACATTTGCACACACTGTATATGTATTTTCTGTTGTATTTTTGACTTTATGTTTTTTTACCCCATATGTAACTCTGTTGTTTTTATTGCACTGCTTTGCTTTATCTTGGCCAGGTCGCAATTGTAAATGAGAACCTGTTCTCAACTGGCTTACCTGGTTAAATAAAGGTTAAATAAAAAATAAATAAAAAAAATAAACGAGCTGAGATTAGGAGGACACTCTTAAAGGGAGTGCTCCTAATCTCAGCTTGTTACCTGTATAAAAGACACCTGTCCACAGAAGCAATCAATCAATCAGATTCCAAACTCTCCACCATGGCCAAGACCAAAGAGCTCTCCAAGGATGTCAGGGACAAGATTGTAGACCTACCCAAGGCTGGAATGGGCTACAAGACCATTGCCAAGCAGCTTGGTGAGAAGGTGACAACAGTTGGTGCGATTATTCGCAAATGGAAGAAACACAAAAGAACTGTCAATCTCCCTCAGCCTGGGGCTCCATGCAAGATCTCACCTCGTGGAGTTGCAATGATCATGAGAACGGTGAGGAATCAGCCCAGAACTACACGGGAGGATCTTGTCAATGATCTCAAGGCAGCTGGGACCATAGTCACCAAGAAAACAATAGGTAACACACTACGCCGTGAAGGACTGAAATCCTGCAGCGCCCGCAAGGTCCCCCTGCTCAAGAAAGCACATATACAGGCCCGTCTGAAGTTTGCCAATGAACATCTGAATGATTCAGAGGAGAACTGGGTGAAAGTGTTGTGGTCAGATGAGACCAAAATGGAGCTCTTTGGCATCAACTCAACTCGCCGTGTTTGGAGGAGGAGGAATGCTGCCTATGACCCCAAGAACACCATCCCCACCGTCAAACATGGAGGTGAAAACATTATGCTTTAGGGGTGTTTTTCTGCTAAGGGGACAGGACAACTTCACCGCATCAAAGGTACGATGGACGGGGCCATGTACCGTCAAATCTTGGGTGAGAACCTCCTTCCCTCAGCCAGGGCATTGAAAATGGGTCGTGGATGGGTATTCCAGCATGACAATGACCCAAAACACACGGCCAAGGCAACAAAGGAGTGGCTCAAGAAGAAGCACATTAAGGTCCTGGAGAGGCCTAGCCAGTCTCCAGACCTTAATCCCATAAAAAATCTGTGGAGGGAGCTGAAGGTTCGAGTTGCCAAACGTCAGCCTCGAAACCTTAATGACTTGGAGAAGATCTGCAAAGAGGAGTGGGACAAAATCCCTCCTGAGATGTGTGCAAACCTGGTGGCCAACTACAAGAAACGTCTGACCTCTGTGATTGCCAACAAGGGTTTTGCCACCAAGTACTAAGTCATGTTTTGCAGAGGGGTCAAATACTTATTTCCCTCTTTAAAATGCAAATCAATTAATAACATTTTTGACATGCGTTTTTTTTTTTTTTGTTATTCTGTCTCTCACTGTTCAAATAAACCTACCATTAAAATTATAGACTGATCATTTATTTTCAGTGGGCAAACGTACAAAATCAGCAGGGGATCAAATACTTTTTTCCCCTCACTGTAGTTGTTGCATCTTTAGATCTCCCCTCTTTCTAAATTTCTAATGGATATTTTCATCTCTGTCATATGAAAACATGTGCAGTGCACTTTGGACAACATGCGTTTTCCTGCTAATTGCATTATTGAACCAACATTTGCATACGTAGCCTTACTGCATTGCTGCGCTTATATTGTGACGAAATAATATTTGATCAACATTTTAAGCTAAATGTTATGATCTGTTGCATCAGCTAAGGCCTACTGGTTGAATGAATTTATCTCCTGTCCCAGAGTCTGTTTTGAACAGGCTGTTTTCTTTGTCGCACAGAACGACAAGTTGACCAATAGAACAGGTCTAGGTAAACTTTTCTACTATAGTAGATTGACGTAGGCTAGTGATTTTACTGTTCGTTACTCGTCGTGTTGGCTGAGGAAAAGTAAATGTGGACAGTTATTCTAACATGTTCAAAGTGCTCATCTGTGTGTGTCTCTGTGTCTCTGTGTCTCTGTGTGTGTTTCTGTGTCTCTGTGTGTGTTTCTGTGTCTCTGTGTGTGTTTCTGTGTCTCTGTGTGTGTTTCTGTGTCTCTGTGTGTGTTTCTGTGTTTCTGTGTGTGTCTCTCTGTGTCTCTCTGTGTCTCTGTGTGTGTCTCTCTGTGTCTCTCTGTGTCTCTGTGTCTCTGTGTGTCTCTCTGTGTCTCTGTGTGTGTCTCTCTGTGTCTCTCTGTGTCTCTGTGTGTGTCTCTCTGTGTCTCTCTGTGTCTCTGTGTCTCTGTGTGTCTCTCTGTGTCTCTGTGTGCTGTGTCCCCCCAGGCCTCCCCCTGGATATGCTCCGCTGTGAGAGTCTGCTGGGTCTAGACCAGGCCACCTGCAGCCGTGTCCTCAACAAGAACTACAAACTACTGGTCTCCATGGCACCGCTCAGCAACGAGATACGACCTATCAGCAGCTGCAGCCCCCAGGTACACACTGGTCCCCCTTCCCAGAGCCTCCTCTCACCACCGCAGGCAACGCACACTGGTCCCCCTTCCCAGAGCCTCCTGTCACCACCACCGCAGGCAACGCACACTGGTCCCCCTTCCCAGACCCTCCTCTCACCACAGCAGGCAACGCACACTGGTCCCCCTTCCCAGAGCCTCCTGTCACCACCACAGCAGGCAACGCACACTGGTCCCCCTTCCCAGACCCTCCTCTCACCACAGCAGGCAACGCACACTGGTCCCCCTTCCCAGACCCTCCTCTCACCACAGCAGGCAACGCACACTGGTCCCCCTTCCCAGAGCCTCCTGTCACCACCGCAGCAGGCAACGCACACTGGTCCCCCTTCCCAGACCCTCCTCTCACCACAGCAGGCAACGCACACTGGTCCCCCTTCCCAGAGCCTCCTGTCACCACCACAGCAGGCAACGCACACTGGTCCCCCTTCCCAGAGCCTCCTCTCACCACCGCAGGCAACGCACACTGGTCCCCCTTCCCAGAGCCTCCTGTCACCACCACCGCAGGCAACGCACACTGGTCCCCCTTCCCAGAGCCTCCTCTCACCACAGCAGGCAACGCACACTGGTCCCCCTTCCCAGAGCCTCCTCTCACCACCGCAGGCAACGCACACTGGTCCCCCTTCCCAGAGCCTCCTGTCACCACCACAGCAGGCAACACACACTGGTCCCCCTTCCCAGAGCCTCCTCTCACCACCGCAGGCAACGCACACTGGTCCCCCTTCCCAGAGCCTCCTGTCACCACCACCGCAGGCAACGCACACTGGTCCCCCTTCCCAGAGCCTCCTCTCACCACCGCAGGCAACGCACACTGGTCCCCCTTCCCAGAGCCTCCTCTCACCACCACCGCAGGCAACGCACACTGGTCCCCCTTCCCAGAGCCTCCTCTCACCACCGCAGGCAACGCACACTGGTCCCCCTTCCCAGAGCCTCCTGTCACCACCACCGCAGGCAACGCACACTGGTCCCCCTTCCCAGAGCCTCCTCTCACCACAGCAGGCAACGCACACTGGTCCCCCTTCCCAGACCCTCCTCTCACCACAGCAGGCAACGCACACTGGTCCCCCTTCCCAGAGCCTCCTGTCACCACCGCAGCAGGCAACGCACACTGGTCCCCCTTCCCAGAGCCTCCTCTCACCACCGCAGGCAACGCACACTGGTCCCCCTTCCCAGAGCCTCCTGTCACCACCACAGCAGGCAACACACACTGGTCCCCCTTCCCAGAGCCTCCTCTCACCACCGCAGGCAACGCACACTGGTCCCCCTTCCCAGAGCCTCCTGTCACCACCACCGCAGGCAACGCACACTGGTCCCCCTTCCCAGAGCCTCCTCTCACCACCGCAGGCAACGCACACTGGTCCCCCTTCCCAGAGCCTCCTCTCACCACCACCGCAGGCAACGCACACTGGTCCCCCTTCCCAGAGCCTCCTCTCACCACCGCAGGCAACGCACACTGGTCCCCCTTCCCAGAGCCTCCTGTCACCACCACCGCAGGCAACGCACACTGGTCCCCCTTCCCAGAGCCTCCTCTCACCACCACCGCAGGCAACGCACACTGGTCCCCCTTCCCAGAGCCTCCTCTCACCACCACCGCAGGCAACGCACACTGGTCTCCCTTCCCAGAGCCTCCTCTCACCACCGCAGGCAACGCACACTGGTCCCCCTTCCCAGAGCCTCCTCTCACCACCGCAGGCAACGCACACTGGTCCCCCTTCCCAGAGCCTCCTGTCACCACCACCGCAGGCAACGCACACTGGTCCCCCTTCCCAGAGCCTCCTCTCACCACCACAGGCAACGCACACTGGTCCCCCTTCCCAGACCCACCTCTCACCACCGCAGGCAACGCACACTGGTCCCCCTTCCCAGACCCACCTCTCACCACCGCAGGCAACGCACACTGGTCCCCCTTCCCAGAGCCTCCTCTCACCACCACAGGCAACGCACACTGGTCCCCCTTCCCAGACCCACCTCTCACCACCGCAGGCAACGCTGGGACTGACTAGGGCCAGTTGAGATGGTGTATGTAATGCATGCGTAGTGTATGTGTGTGTGTGTGTGTGTGTGTGTGTGTGTGAGTGTGTGTTTGCACTAGTCATATGCTCTAAGACTGTTCCAGCCAACACACACCAGATCTGGGGATTCACACTCATTCAGACTGGAAAGCAATTTGTCCTGGACAGACTCCAGTCTTCGTCTCCAGGCTGGGATCTGACTGACAGGGAGAACAGAGAACTATACAACTATAAAACTATAAAATAAACTACAGAAATATGCAACTATACAACTACAGAAATATACAACCACATAATTATACAACTATACAACTAGAGAACTACAGTTGAAGTCGGAAGTTTACATACACCTTAGCTAAATACATTTAAACTAAATTTTTCACAATTCCTGACATTTAATCCTAGTAAAAATTCCCTGTCTTAGGTCAGTTAGGATCACCACTTTATTTTAAGAATGTGAAATGTCAGAATAATAGTAGAGAGAATGATTTATTTCAGCTTTTATTTCTTTCATCACATTTCCAGTGGGTCAGAAGTTTACATACACTCAATTAGTATTTGGTAGCATTGCCTTTAAATTGTTTAACTTGGGTCAAACGTTTCGGGTAGCCTTCCACAAGCTTCCCACAATAAGTTGGGTGAATTTTGGCCCATTCCTCCTGACAGAGCTGGTGTAACTGAGTCAGGTTTGTAGGCCTCCTTGCTCGCACATGCTTTTTCAGTTCTGCCCACAAATCTTCTGTAGGATTGAGGTCAGGGCTTTGTGATGGCCACTCCAATACCTTGACTTTGTTGTCCTTAAGCCATTTTGCCACAATTTTGGAAGTATGCTTGGGGTCATTGTCCATTTGCAAGAACCATTTGCGACCAAGCTTTAACTTCCTGACTGATGTCTTGAGATGTTGCTTCATATCCACATAATTTTCCTTCCTCATGATGCCATCTATTTTGTGAAGTGCACCAGTCCCTCCTGCAGCAAACCACCCCCACAGCATGATGCTGCCACCCCCGTGCTTCACGGTTGGGATGGTGTTCTTCGGCTTGCAAGACCCCCTTTTTCCTCCAAACATAACAATGGTCATTATGGCCAAACAGTTCTATTTTTGTTTCATCAGACCAGAGGACATTTCTCCAAAAAGTACAATCTTTGTCCCCATTTGCAGTTGCAAACCATAGTATGGCTTTTTTATGGCGGTTTTGGAGCAGTGGCTTCTTCTTTGCTGAGTGGCCTTTCAGGTTATGTCGATATAGGACTCGTTTTACTGTGGATATAGATACTTTTGTACCTGTTTCCTCCAGCATCTTCACAAGGTCCTTTGCTGTTGTTCTGGGATTGATTTGCACTTTTCTACCGAAGTACGTTCATCTCTAGGAGACAGAACGCGTCTCCTTCCTGAGCGGTATGACGGCTGCGTGGTCCCATGGTGTTTATACTTGCGTACTATTGTTTGTACAGATGAACGTGGTACCTTCAGGCATTTGGACCTTTCTCCCAAGGATGATCCAGACTTGTGGAGGTCTACAACTTTTTTTCTGAGGTCTTGGCTGATTTCTTTTGATTTTCCCATGATGTCAAGCAAAGAGGCACTGAGTTTGAAGATAGGCCTTGAAATACATCCACAGGTACACCTCCAATTGACTCAAATGATGTAAATTAGCCTATCAGAAGCTTCTAAAGCATGACATCATTTTCTGGAATTTTCCAAGCTGTTTAAAGGCACAGTCAACTTAGTGTATGTAAACTTCTGACCCACTGGAAATGTGATCTGTCTGTAAACAATTGTTGGAAAAATTACTTGTATCATGCACAAAGTAGATGTCCTAACCGACTTGCCAAAACTATAGTTTGTTAACAAGAAATTTGTGGAGTGGTTGAAAAACGAGTTTTAATGACTCCAACCTAAGTGTATGTAAACTTCCGACTTCAACTGTATACAACTATATAACTACATAACTACAGAAGTATACAGCTAATCAACTATACAAATACAGAACTATAGAACTATACAACTATACAACTATACAGCTAATCAACTATACAACTACAGAACTATAGAAATATACAACTATACAACTATACAGCTAATCAACTATACAAATACAGAACTATAGAACTATACAACTATACAACTATACAGCTAATCAACTATACAAATACAGAACTATAGAACTATAGAACTATACAACTACACAACTACACAACTATACAACTACAGAACTATACAACTATACAACTACAGAAACTATACAACTACAGAACTAAGCCTCTCTGACTGACAGGACACTCCCTTTCTCTGTTAGTTTTTTTGTTTTTTTGCCTTGTTCAACGATCCTGATCTCATGAGTTTACAGCACAGTTAGGATGGTGGCTCAGCCACAGTCAGGATGGTGGATCAGCCACAGTCAGGATGGTGGATCAGCCACAGTCAGGATGGTGGATCAGCCACAGTCAGGATGGTGGATCAGCCACAGTCAGGATGGTGGATCAGCCACAGTCAGGATGGTGGATCAGCCACAGTCAGGATGGTGGATCAGCCACAGTCAGGATGGTGGATCAGCCACAGTCAGGATGGTGGATCAGCCACAGTCAGGATGGTGGATCAGCCACAGTCAGGATGGTGGATCAGCCACAGTCAGGATGGTGGATCAGCCACAGTCAGGATGGTGGATCAGCCACAGTCAGGATGGTGGATCAGCCACAGTCAGGATGGGGATCAGCCACAGTCAGGATGGTGGATCAGCCACAGTCAGGATGGTGGATCAGCCACAGTCAGGATGGTGGATCAGCCACAGTCAGGATGGTGGATCAGCCACAGTCAGGATGGTGGATCAGCCTATTGTTTTCTATCAGGATTTGAACATTCTTGTAAATTCCAAGAACCTTGGCTGGGATCCAGCTAATCTGAGTGATGTAATGGTACATAAAGTAGTATGTGCTTCTGTCCCTATTCAAATCAACCATACATAAAGTAGTATGTGCTTCTGTCCCTATTCAAATCAACCATACATAAAGTAGTATGTGCTTCTGTCCCTATTCAAATCAACCATACATAAAGTAGTATGTGCTTCTGTCCCTATTCAAATCAACCATACATAAAGTAGTATGTGCTTCTGTCCCTATTCAAATCAACCATACATAAAGTAGTATGTGCTTCTGTCCCTATTCAAATCAACCATACATAAAGTAGTATGTGCTTCTGTCCCTATTCAAATCAACCATACATAAAGTAGTATGTGCTTCTGTCCCTATTCAAATCAACCATACATAAAGTAGTATGTGCTTCTGTCCCTATTCAAATCAACCATACATAAAGTAGTATGTGCTTCTGTCCCTATTCAAATCAACCATACATAAAGTAGTATGTGCTTGCTTCTGTCCCTATTCAAATCAACCATACATAAAGTAGTATGTGCTTCTGTCCCTATTCAAATCAACCATACATAAAGTAGTATGTGCTTCTGTCCCTATTCAAATCAACCATACATAAAGTAGTATGTGCTTCTGTCCCTATTCAAATCAACCATACATTAATTAATAAATAAACGTTATTGTTTCCCCTGCAGCACATTGGGCCAGCCATCCCCGAGGTGAGCTCCATCTGGTTCAAGCTCTACCTGTACCATGTGACCGGCCAGGGTCCTCCCTCCCTGCTGCTGTCCAAGGGCTCCAGGCTCCGGAAACTTCCAGACATCTTCCAGGTCAGTCTGTAGAAACTACCAGACATCTTCCAGGTCAGTCTATAGAAACTACCAGACATCTTCCAGGTCAGTCTATAGAAACTACCAGACATCTTCCAGGGCAGTCTATAGAAACTACCAGACATCTTCCAGGGCAGTCTATAGAAACTACCAGACATCTTCCAGGGCAGTCTATAGAAACTACCAGACATCTTCCAGGGCAGTCTATAGAAACTACCAGACATCTTCCAGGGCAGTCTATAGAAACTACCAGACATCTTCCAGGTCAGTCTATAGAAACTACCAGACATCTTCCAGGTCAGTCTATAGAAACTACCAGACATCTTCCAGGGCAGTCTATAGAAACTACCAGACATCTTCCAGGGCAGTCTGTAGAAACTACCAGACATCTTCCAGGTCAGTCTATAGAAACTACCAGACATCTTCCAGGGCAGTCTGTAGAAACTACCAGACATCTTCCAGGGCAGTCTATAGAAACTACCAGACATCTTCCAGGTCAGTTTTAACGGTCCAATATTCCGTGGACTCGTTTCCCGGACACAGATTAATTCAATGGAGAATTTACATTGAAAATCCATTTTAGTCTAGGACTAGGGTTCTTCTGTGTCTGGGAAAGCGCCGGTCCTTGCTGTCTGGTCCGAGAGCTACAACCTGTCATCAGAAAGACAAACTCCGTTCTTCTGGTTGTGAGGATTCCTGGTGATTATTGTATGTGTTCCAGGTTTTTGACAGGTTGCTGATCACTTCCTGGGGTCACGACCCCGGTGTGGTTCCTACGTCCAACGTGCTGACCATGCTCAATGACGCCCTCACGCACTCCGCTGTACTCATACAGGTAACACACACACACACACACACACACACTCACTCACTCACACACACACACACACACACACACACACACACACACACTAACGTAAGTGTCTCTGGGTCCACAGGGCCATGGAATGCAGGGTCATGGAGAGACAGTTCACGTCCCCTTCCCGTTTGACCAGGAGGATCTCAAAGGAGGTATCTGGTTCTCTAGCGTCTGTATGTGATACACTGATGATCGTTTCTGATAATCAAGTCAGAGACCTGTTGCTTTCTCTTCCTTCTTTCTCTGGGAACAATTTAATTTGGTTGACTACAAGAAGTGACATGTTAGAAGTATCACATGTAAGAGTTGATATTCAAATATTTCTGTGTGAACCTAGTTTAACCCTTTCTGTTCCCTGTCCTGTCCTGTCCTGTCCTGTCCCGCCCTGTCCTGTCCTGTCCTGTCCCGTCCCGTCCTGTCCTGTCCCGTCCCGTCCCGTCCCGTCCCCCCCCTCCCCCAGAGTTCTCCTCCTCCAACATGTGTGTCCACAAGGCCCTGCTGCTGCTGAGGGAGAAGGTGGATCTGGATCACCAGTGTGGATACATCACCATGCTCAACCCCAACAACAGGCACTGCAGGAGGGCCAGCGAGAGCTCCGACGGCAGGGGTGAGTGGAGGGCTGGGGTTAGGGTTGGGACGGTTAGATGGTAGGGGTGAGTGGAGGGCTGGGGTTAGGGTTGGGACGGTCAGATGGTAGGGGTGAGTGGAGGGCTGGGGTTAGGGTTGGGGGTAGGTCTGACGGCAGGGGTGAGTGGAGGGCTGGGGTTAGGGTTGGGACGGGGGTGAGTGGAGGGCTGGGGTTAGGGTTGGGACGGGGGTGAGTGGAGGGCTGGGGTTAGGGTTGGGACGGTCATATAATTTTGGATGAAGGTAATTGGCCAGTCTCCGTAATAACCGTTGGAATGGGAGAAAAAAAACAGTTTTCTTCTCTCCTTCGCTCCTGACTGCATGTGCTGCCATAGAAATAGAATGAATAGAACGGGCGTCTTCTTATTATTTTTAAATATAATATAGGGCCAGCGAGAGCTCCGACGGCAGGGGTGAGTGGAGGGCTGGGGTTAGGGTTGGGACGGTCAGATGGTAGGGGTGAGTGGAGGGCTGGGGTTAGGGTTGGGACGGTCATATAATTTTGGATGAAGGTAATTGGCCAGACAAATAATCGCAGTCTCCGTAATAACCGTTGGAATGGGAGAAAAAAAAACGTTTTCTTCTCTCCTTCGCTCCTGACTGCATGTGCTGCCATAGAAATAGAATGAATAGAACGGGCGTCTTCATATTATTTTTTAAAAATATAATTCTGACGGTTATTTTACTTTCATGACGGTCTTCATCCATAACCGTCGGTTGTGCCAGCCCTAGGTGGGTTTGGGGTTAGGATCAGATGGCAGGGGGGTAGGAGTTAGGAGTAGGTCTGATGGCAGGTGGGTCGGAGTTAGGAGTAGGTCTGATGGCAGGTGGGTAGGAGTAGGTCTGATGGCAGGTGGGTAGGAGTTAGGAGTAGGTCTGATGGCAGGTGGGTAGGAGTTAGGAGTAGGTCTGATGGCAGGTGGGTAGGAGTTAGGAGTAGGTCTGATGGCAGGTGGGTAGGAGTTAGGAGTAGGTCTGATGGCAGGTGGGTCGGAGTTAGGAGTAGGTCTGATGGCAGGTGGGTAGGAGTTAGGAGTAGGTCTGATGGCAGGTGGGTAGGAGTAGGTCTGATGGCAGGTGGGTAGGAGTTAGGAGTAGGTCTGATGGCAGGTGGGTAGGAGTTAGGAGTAGGTCTGATGGCAGGTGGGTAGAAGTTAGGAGTAAGGGTAGTCTGATGCAGGTGGGGTAGGAGTAGGTCTGATGGCAGGTGGGTAGGAGTTAGGATGTAGGTCTGATGGCAGGTGGGTAGGAGTTAGGAGTAGGTCTTGATGGCAGGTGGGTAGGAGTAGGTCTGATGGGCAGTTGGGTCGGAGTTAGAGTAGCTGATGGCAGGTGGGTAGGAGTTAGGAGTAGGTCTGATGGCAGGTGGGTAGGAGTTAGGAGTAGGTCTGATGGCAGGTGGGTAGGAGTTAGGAGTAGGTCTGATGGCAGGTGGGTAGGAGTTAGGAGTAGGTCTGATGGCAGGTGGGTAGAGTTAGGAGTAGGTCTGATGGCAGGTGGGTAGGAGTTAGGAGTAGGTCTGATGGCAGGTGGGTAGGAGTTAGGAGTAGGTCTGATGGCAGGTGGGTTAGGAGTTAGGGGAGTAGGGTCTGATGGCAGTGGGTAGGAGTTAGGAGTAGGTCCTGATGGGCAGGTGGGTAGGAGTTAGGAGTAGGTCTGATGGCAGGTGGGTAGGAGTAGGTCTGATGGCAGGTGGGTAGGAGTTAGGAGTAGGTCTGATGGCAGGTGGGGTAGGAGTTAGAGTAGGTCTGATGGCAGGTGGGTAGGAGTTAGGAGTAGGTCTGATGGCAGGTGGGTAGGAGTTAGGAGTAGGTCTGATGGCAGGTGGGTAGGAGTTAGGAGTAGGTCTGATGGCAGGTGGGTAGGAGTAGGTCTGATGGCAGGTGGGTAGGAGTTAGGAGTAGGTCTGATGGCAGGTGGGTAGGAGTTAGGAGTAGGTCTGATGGCAGGTGGGTAACAGAGACAGGGTGGGTCGGGAGGAGGGTTAGGGTATTTTTTAAATTACATTTACCATGGCATTAATGCACTAATTTACATTTACATTTACGTCATTTAGCAGAGCGACTTACAAATTGGTGCATTCACCTTATAGCCAGTGGGATAACCACTTTACAGTGTTTTTTTATTTTTTTATTTTTTTGGGGGGTGGGGGAAGGGGGAAGGGGGGGTAGAAGGATTACTTTATCCTATCCCAGGTATTCCTTAAAGAGGTGGGGTTTCGAGTGTCTCCGGAAGGTGGTCAGTGACTCCGCTGTCCTGGCGTCGTGAGGGAGCTTGTTCCACCATTGGGGTGCCAGAGCAGCGAATAGCTTTGACTGGGCTGAGCGGGAACTGTGCTTCCGCAGAGGTAGGGGGGCCAGCAGGCCAGAGGTGGATGAACGCAATGCCCTCGTTTGGGTGTAGGGACTGATCAGAGCCTGAAGGTAAGGAGGTGCCGTTCCCCTCACAGCTCCGTAGGCAAGCACCATGGTCTTGTAGTAGATGCAAGCTTCAACTGGAAGCCAGTGGAGTGTGCGGAGGAGCGGGGTGACGTGAGAGAACTTGGGAAGGTTGAAAACCAGGCTGGCTGCGGCATTCTGGATGAGTTGTAGGGGTTTAATGGCGCAGGCAGGGAGCCCAGCCAACAGCGAGTTGCAGTAATCCAGACGGGAGATGACAAGTGCCTGGATTAGGACCTGTGCCGCTTCCTGTGTAAGGCAGGGTCGTACTCTCCGAATGTTGTAGAGCATGAACTTACAGGATCGGGTCACCGCCTTGATGTTAGCGGAGAACGACAGGGTGTTGTCCAGGGTCACGCCAAGGCTCTTCACACTCTGGGAGGAGGACACAACGGAGTTGTCAACCGTGATGGCGAGATCATGGAACGGGCAGTCCTTCCCCGGGAGGAAGAGCAGCTCCGTCTTGCCGAGGTTCAGCTTGAGGTGGTGATCCGTCATCCATACTGATATGTCTGCCAGACATGCAGAGATGCGATTCGCCACCTGGTTATCAGAAGGGGGAAAGGAGAAGATTAGTTGTGTGTCGTCTGCGTAGCAATGATAGGAGAGGCCATGTGAGGATATGACAGAGCCAAGTGACTTGGTGTATAGGGAGAATAGGAGAGGGCCTAGAACTGAGCCCTGGGGGACACCAGTGGTGAGAGCACGTGGTGCGGAGACAGATTCTCGAATTACCTGCTAAGTGGCACCTGGCCAGGAAAAACTCAGGTGGATGGGTAAGACTCCTGGCCCTGAAGAAGCAGGAGACCCAGAACTAATGAGGAGGGCAGTCTGGTTGGCATCCTGGGTTCTGCTCCCTAAGCAGGAGATAATGATAGCCATCAGTCTGGTTTAATGATGTTAAGGTACCAGTGAGATAATGATAGCCATCAGTCTGGTTTAATGATGTTAAGGTACCAGTGAGATAATGATAGCCATCAGTCTGGTTTAATGATGTTAAGGTACCAGTGAGATAATGATAGCCATCAGTCTGGTTTAATGATGTTAAGGTACCAGTGAGATAATGATAGCCATCAGTCTGGTTTAATGATGTTAAGGTACCAGTGAGATAATGATAGCCATCAATCTGGTTTAATGATGTTAAGGTACCAGTGAGATAATGATAGCCATCAGTCTGGTTTAATGATGTTAAGGTACCAGTGAGATAATGATAGCCATCAGTCTGGTTTAATGATGTTAAGGTACCAGTGAGATAATGATAGCCATCAGTCTGGTTTAATGATGTTAAGGTACCAGTGAGATAATGATAGCCATCAGTCTGGTTTAATGATGTTAAGGTACCAGTGAGATAATGATAGCCATCAATCTGGTTTAATTGCTCCTAATTATTTCTCTCATCATTATGATGATCTTTGCTAACAGACGTGTCACCCCGTATGACCTTTCCCACTGAGATAATATAATTAATCCTTATTTAACTTAATTACTGATTTAATTTGATTATAGCAAGAGTCAGAGACCAATGTCTTGGTTTCATTTGACATTGAGAGTTGGACAGACATTGAGATACTCAAAGCTTTTTTAAATGTATTCTATCTGCTACTGGCAGTTCTCTCACCCTGGAATGTGGAATAAAATCCATTAAAATACCCCCCACTGTATAGGCTGGCTCATTTCCCTTCCTCCCACCTACCCATAAAAGATTGTTAAAAATGTATTTGAAAATTGAAATTGAAAAAGTTAACAATGTGAAAAACTAATTGAACTGTCCTCTGAATAAGATAGATGATTATCTTAGTGATTCTGTGTTCTGTCTGGACCAGGGGACCATGTATATAGAACATATACTGTCTGGACCAGGGGACCATGTATATAGAAACATGTCCAGTTTATTGGGTACCGGGTCGGACCCCCGTTTGCCCCCAGAACAGCCTGAATCCTTCGGGGCATGGAAATGTTACTCAATTGGTATCAAGGGATCTTTTTCCACCCCTCAATTGTCCAGATCCTGACTCAACAGGAAACAGGATTCGTCGGACAAGTCAATGTTTTTCCACTCCTCAGTTGTCCAGTGTTGGTGATGGCTGTGCCCACTGGAGCCGCTTCTCCTTGTTTTTAGCTGATAGGAGTGGAACCAGGTGTGGTCGTCTGCTGCAACAGCCCGTCCGTGACAAGGACCAACTAGTTGCTGTTCTCCAAACCACTGTTGTGCTGCTCCGTTACTTGTCTGTTTGTGACCCGCCTGTTAGTTTGCACAATTCTTGCCATTCCCCTTCGACCTCTCATCAACAAGCTGTTTTTGCCCACAGGACTGCCGCTGACTGGATGTTTTTTGTTTGTCGCTCCATTCTCTGTAAATCCTAGACACTATCGTGTGTGAAAAGCCCAGGAGGGTAGCCGTTTCTGAGATACTGGATCCTACCACGCTCAAGGTCGTTTAGGTCACTAGTTTTGCCCATTCTAACGTTCAATTGAACAGTAACTGAATGCCTGGATGCCTGCTTTATATAGCAAGCCACGGCCACGTGACTCACTGTCTGTAGGAGCAAACCATTTTTGTGAACAGGGTGGTGTACCTAATGAACTATATAATGAGTGAAGATGGCGCTGACAGACATGGCAGCTCTGCTTCTAGCTCCTAAGCAACTATGCAGTACCTACAGTACCAGTCAAACGTTTGGACACACCTCGTCATCCAAGGGTTTTTCTTTATTTTTACTATTTTTTACATTGTAGAATAATAGTGAAGACATCAAAACTATGAAATAACACATATGGAATCATGTAGTAACCCAAAAAATGTTAAACAAATCTAAATATATTTTATATTTGAGATTTTTCAAAGTAGCCACCCTTTGCCTTGATGACAGCTTTGCACACTCTTGGCGTTCTTTCAACCAGCTTCATGAGGTAGTCACCTGGAATGTATTTCAATGAACAGGTGTCCCTTGTTAAAAGTTCATTTGTGGAATTTCTTTCCTTCTTAATGCGTTTGAGCCAATCAAGGTAATGCAGTGCCTTGCAAAAGTATTCATCCTCCTTGGTGTTTTTCCTATTTTGTTGCATTACAACCTGTAATTTAAATGGATTTTTATTTGTATTTCATGAAATGGACATACACAAAATAGTCCAAATTGGTGAAGTGAAATGAAAAAAATAACTTGTTTCAAAAAATTCTAAATAATAAATAATGGAAAAGTGGTGCATGCATATGAATTCACCCCCTTTGCTATGAAGCCCCTAAATAAGATATGGTGCAACCAATTACCTTCAGAAGTCACATAATTAGTTGAATAAAGTCCACTTGTGTGCAATCTAAGTGTCACATGATCTGTCACATGATCGCAGTATATATACACCTGTTCTGAAAGGCCCCAGTGTCTGCAACAACACTAAGCAAGGGGCACCACCAAGCAAGCGGCACCATGAAGACCAAGGAGCTCTCCAAACAGGTCAGGGACAAAGTTGTGGAGAAGTACAGATCAGGGTTGGGTTATAAAAAAATATCAGAAACATTGAACATCCCACGGAGCAAGAGAGGGCCGCCCACCAAAACTCACAGACCAGGCAAGGAGGGCATTAATCAGAGAGGCAACAAAGAGACCAAAGATAACCCTGAAGGAGCTGCAAAGCTCCACAGCGGAGATTGGAGTATCTGTCCAAAGGACGACTTTAAGCCGTACACTCCACAGGGCTGGGCTTTATGGAAGAGTGGCCAGAAAAAAGCCATTGCTTAAAGAAAAGAATAAGCAAACACGTTTGGTGTTCGCCAAAAGGCATGTGGGAGACTCCCCAAACATATGGAAGAAGGTACTCTGGTCAGATGAGACTAAAATTGAGCTTTTTGGCCATCAAGGAAAACGCTATGTCTGGCGCAAACCCAAAACCTCTCATCACCCCGAGAACACAATCCCCACAGTGAAGCATGGTGGTGGCAGCATCATGCTGTGGGGATGTTTTTCATCGGCAGGGACTGGGAAACTGGTCAGAATTGAAGGAATGATGGATGGCGCTAAAGACTGGGAAATTCTTAAGGGAAACGGTAGGCATGTTGTGTAAATCAAATTATACAAACCCCCAATAAACCATTTTAATTCCAGGTTGTAAGGCAACAAAATAGGAAAAATGCCAAGGGGGGTGAATACTTTCGCAAGCCACTGTAGGGGTGGTATACAGAAGATAGCCCTATTTGGTAAAAGACCAAGTCCATATAATGGCAAGTACAGCTCAAATAAGCAAAGAGAAACGACAGTCCATCATTACTTTAAGACATGAAGGTCAGTCAATCAAGAACTTTGAACGTTTTTTCAAGTGCAGTCGCAAAAATCATCAAGCGCTATGATGAAACTGGCTCTCATGAGGACCGCCACAGGAATGGAAGACCCAGAGTTACCTCTGCTGCAGAGGATAAGTTCATTAGAGTTATCAGCCTCAGAAATTGCAGCCCAAATAAATGCTTCACAGAGTTCAAGTAACAGACACATCAATCAATCAATCAATTTTATTTTATATAGCCCTTCTTACATCAGCTAATATCTCGAAGTGCTGTACAGAAACCCAGCCTAAAACCCCAAACAGCTAGTAATGCAGGTGTAGAAGCACGGTGGCTAGGAAAAACTCCCTAGAAAGGCGAAAACCTAGGAAGAAACCTAGAGAGGAACCAGGCTATGAGGGGTGGCCAGTCCTCTTCTGGCTGTGCCGGGTGAAGATTATAACAGAACCATGCCAAGATGTTCAAAAATGTTCATAAGTGACAAGCATGGTCAAATAATAATCAGGAATAAATCTCAGTTGGCTTTTCATAGCCGATCATTAAGAGTTGAAAACAGCAGGTCTGGGACAGGTAGGGGTTCCATAACCGCAGGCAGAACAGTTGAAACTGGAATAGCAGCAAGGCCAGGCGGACTGGGGACAGCAAGGAGTCACCACGGCCGGTAGTCCCGACGTATGGTCCTAGGGCTCAGGTCTCTCAGTTGGCTTTTCATAGCCGATCATTAAGAGTTGAAAACAGCAGGTCTGGGACAGGTAGGGGTTTCGTAACCGCAGGCAGAACAGTTGAAACTGGAATAGCAGCAAGGCCAGGCGGACTGGGGACAGCAAGGTGTCATCATGCCCGGTAGTCCTGACGTATGGTCCTAGGGCTCAGGTTCTCAGAGAGAAAGAGAGAACGAGAGAATTAGAGAGAGCATACTTAAATTCACACAGGACACTGGATAAGACAGGAGAAGTACTCCAGGTATAACCAACTAACCCCAGCCCCCCGACACATAAACTACTGCAGCATAAATACTGGAGGCTGAGACAGGAGCGGTCCGGAGACACTGTGGCCCCATCCGAAGAAACCCCCGGACAGGGCCAAACAGGAAGGATATAACCCCACCCACTCTGCCAAAGCACAGCCCCCGCACCACTAGAGGGATATCCTCAACCACCAACTTACAATCCTGAGACAAGGCCGAGTATAGCCCACAGAGGTCTCCACCACAGCACAAACCAAGGGGGGGCGCCAACCCAGACAGGAAGATCACGTCAGTAACTCAACCCACTCAAGTGACGCACCCCTCCCAGGGACGGCATGAAAGAGCACCAGCAAGCCAGTGACTCAGCCCCTGCAACAGGGTTAGAGGCAGAGAACCCCAGTGGAGAGGGGAACCGGCCCGGCAGAGACAGAGACATCTCAACATCAACTGTTCAGAGGACACTGCGTGAATCAGGCCTTCATGGTCGAATTGCTGCAAAGAAACCACTACTAAAGGACACCAATAAGACTTGCTTGGGCCAAGAAACACGAGCAATGGACATTAGACCGGTGGAAATCTGTCCTTTGGACTGATGAGTCCAAATTACAGATTTTTTGTTCCAACCGCTGTGTCTTTGTGAGACGCAGAGTAGGTGAACGGATGATCTCCGCATGTGTAGTTCCCTCCGTGAAGCATGGAGGAGGAGGTGTGATGGTGTGGGGGTTGCTTTGCTGATGACACTGTCAGTGATTTATTTAGAATTTAAGGCACACTTAACCAGCATGGCTACCACAGCATTCTGCAGCGATACGCCATCCCATCTGGTTTGCGCTTAGTGGGACTATCATTTGTTTTTCTTCAGGACAATGACCCAAAACACAACTCCAGGCTGTGTAAGGGCTATTTGACCAGGAAGGAGAGTGATGGAGTGCTGCATGAGATGATATGGCCTCCACAATCACTCGACCTCAACCCAATTGAGATGGTTTGGGATGAGTCGGATCGCAGAGTGAAGGAAAAGCAGCCAACAAGTGCTCAGCATATGTGGGAACTCTCAGCCTTCAACACCATACTACCCTCCAAGCTCATCATTAAGCTCGGGGCCTTGGGTCTGAATCCCGCCCTGTGCAACTGGGTCCTGGACTTCCTGATGGGCCGCCCCCAGGTGGTGAAGGTAGGAAACAACACCTCCACTTCGCTGATCCTCAACACTGGGGCCCCACAAGGGTGCGTGCTCAGCCCCCTCCTGTACTCCCTGTTCACCCATGACTGCGTGGCCAAGCACGCCTCCAACTCAATCATCAAGTTTGCAGATGACACAACAGTAGTAGGCCTGATTAGCCGATGTGCCCTTGAGCACTTAACCCTAATTGCTCCTGTAAGTCGCTCTGGATAAGAGCGTCTGCTAAATGACTAAAATGTAAATGTAAATATATGTGTATGCGACCAATAAAATGTGATTTGATTTGATTGTTATATTGTCTATACAGGAGACAGTCATCTGGGCGGTGGGTTCGAGGCCAACAGCAGCACGGAGTCCTTTGAGCTGGTCACAGAGGACAACAATGAAGGAAAGCCAGCAGCAGAAGGTACAGTGCAGAGGGGCTACTCAGAAGGTACAGTGCAGAGGGGCTACTCAGAAGGTACAGTGCAGAGGGGCTATTCAGAAGGTACAGTGCAGAGGGGCTACTCAGAAGGTACAGTGGCATTGGGGCTACTCAGACGGTACAGTGCGGTGAGGCTACTCAGAAGGTTACAGTGCAGAGGGGCTACTCAAAATGTACAGTGCTGAGGGCTACTCAGAAGGTACAGTGCTGTGAGGCTACTACTCATAAGGTACACGTGCAGAGGAGCTATTCAGAAGGTACAGTGCCGAGGGCTACTCAGAAGGACAAGTACATATGGGCTTATACTCAGAAGGTCAGTCAGAAGGGGCTACTCCGAAGGTATCACGTGCAGAGGGGCTACTCAGAAGGTACAGTTCAGGAGGGGCTATTCAGAGGACTTGCATAGGGGCTACTCATAAGTACAGTTTCAGAGGGGCTACTTCCGAAGTACAGTGCAATGGGCTACTCAGAAGGTACAGTTCATAGGGGGCTACGCAGAAGGTACAGTGCAGTGCAGATGGGCTTACTTCAGAAGGTACAGTACAGAAGGGGCTACTCAGAAGGTACATGCAGAGGGGCTACTCAGAGGTACATTAACAGAGGGGCTACTCAGAAGGTACAGTTCAGAGGGGCTACTCAGAAGGTCAGTGCGATGGGCTTACTCAGAAGGTACATTGCGGATGGGGCTACTCATAATGTAGCATTGCGTGAGGCTACTCAGAAGTACGTGCAGAGGGGCTCTCAAAGGTTAACAGTACATTGGCGAGGGCTACTCAAAGGTACGTACAGTGCCGATGGGCTACTCAGAAGTAACAGTCAGAGGGCACTCAGAAGGTACAGTACATAGGTGCTACTCAGAAGGTACATGGCAGAGGGGCTACTCAGAAGGTACAGTGCAGAGGGGCCCTCAGAAGGTACAGTACATGTGCAGAGGGGCTACTCAAAGGTACAGTGCAGAGGGGCTATTCAGCAAGGTACGTGCTAGATGGGCTCTCATAAGTACAGTGCAAGGGGCTACTCAGAGGTCAGTACGAGGGGCTACTCAGAAGTACCGTACAGTACAGAGGGGCTACTCGAAGAGGGGCTATCAGAAGGTACAGTACAGAGGGGCTACTCAGAAGGTTACAGTGCAGAGGGGCTACTCAGAAGGTACAGTGCGTGGGGCTACTCAGAAGGTACAGTGCAGAGGGCTACTCAGAAGGTACAGTACAGAGGGGCTACTCAGAAGGTACAGTGCAGAGGGGCTACTCAGAAGGTACAGTGCAGTGCAGAATGTTATGTACCCACTGCAGTGTCCCTGTTTGATGATGTAATGTACCCACTGCAGTGTCCCTGTTTGATGATGTAATGTACCCACTGCAGTGTCCCTGTTTGATGATGTAATGTTATGTTACCCACTGCAGTGTCCCTGTTTTGATGATGTAATGTAATGTACCACTGCAGTGTCCCTGTTTGATGATGTAATGTTATGTACCCACTGCAGTGCCCCTGTTTGATGATGTAATGTATGTTACCCACGGCAGTGTCCCTGTTTGATGATGTAATGTAATGTACCCCTGCAGTGTCCCTGTTTGATGATGTACATGTTATGTAACCCACTGCAGTGTCCCTGTTTGATGATGTAATGTTATGTTACCCACTGCAGTGCCGTTGACAGAAGATGAGTGGGTCCCTCTAGAGCTGTGCTTTGGGATGCCCCTCTTCAGCTCCGAGCTCAACCGCAAAATATGCCGAAAGATCGCCTCGCACGGCCTCTTTAGCAAAGACAGGTACTGGTAGAACAACATAAAGAGTCTGCTTTTTATGTCCTGGGTGGGAAAGTGAAAAAGACTAGAGTATGTTTTTATGTGAAAAACTGTCAATTTAAAGGAAGGATGGTTGTGTAATTCTTTGTTGTTCCAGCCTTCAAGACTTACTTCATTCCAGCCGAAAACTATCATTGAAGGTTCTAAGTTTTGTTCAGTCATTCCAGGTAAGAGCTTCTTTCCATTGTCTTCCACCTCGCTGCCCACTTGAAGAGCGCTCAAATCAAACCAGCCAGTCTCATAATGCCAATCTGAACACTGAAAGTGGTTTTTTTTTATATACTAAGAGGACCGTTATTAGCATGTTTTAACCACTCCTATGTAAATGGTAGATTATCTGACACTCAAGAAGAAGGTCTGATCTCATTATTACTGAAACAGGATACAAGTGGAAAATATAAAGATCCAGTCCATTTAAAAAATTGGAGGCCCCTTACACTTCAGTGTTGTGATGTAAAAATTCTAGCAAAATGTATAACGCATAGAATTAAAAAGGTATGTCGTATATTATTCATTCTAATCAGACAGGTTTTTTACATGGACGATACATTGGAGATAATATAAGGCAAGTACTGGAAACAATAGAACACTATGGAAAATATGGGAAACCAGGCCTGCTATTCATAGCAGACTTCGAAAAGGCATTTGATAAAGTACGACTGGGGTTTATATATAAATGCCTGGAGCATTTCAATTTTGGAGAATCTCTTATAAAATGGGTCACAATCATGTATAGTAATCCTAGGTGTAAAATAGTAAATAATGGCTATTTCTCAGAAAGTTTTAAACTGTCAAGAGGAGTGAAACAAGGTTGTCCATTATCGGCATATCTATTTATTATGGCCATCGAGATGTTAGCTATTAAAATCAGATCCAACAATAATATCAGGGGATTAGAAATCCAGGGCTTAAAAACAAAGGTGTCATTGTACGCTGATGATTCATGTTTTCTTTTAAATCCACAACTTGAATCCCTCCACAGCCTCATAGAGGATCTAGATACATTTTCTAACCTCTCTGGATTACAACCAAATTATGACAAATGTACTATATTACATATTGGATCACTAAAAAATAAAAGTTTTACATTACCATGTAGTTTACCAATAAAATGGTCTGATGGTGATGTGGATATACTCGGAATACATATCCCAAAGGGAAATAAATGATCTCACTTCAATACATTTTAATAGAAGTTAGCAAAAATAGATCTTACTACCATGGAAAGGTAAATACCTGTCAATTTGTGGAAAAATCACCCTGACTAACTCTTTAGTATTATCCCAGTTTACCTATTTGCTTATGGTCTTGCCTACGCCTAGCGAACAGTTTTTTAAATTATATGAGAAAAAAATATTCAATTTTATTTGGAACGGCAAGCCAGACAAAATTAAAAGGGCCTATTTATGTAATGAATATGAATTCGGAGGACAGAAATTATTAAATATTAAAGCATTAGACCTATCACTAAAAGCTTCGTCATACAAAAGTGGAAGAGGAAAGTGGAAGGGGAGAAAGTAAGGAACTTGTCTGTCGGCCCTGCATTAAAGAACATAATTGGTTAAGGAAAACTGTGATAAATAAAAAAGTAAATCAGTTTCACTTAAGGACCAAAGGATTGACAGCCGTCCCATATAGATTGCAAAATAGTTGGAAGAGATTTTTGACGTACCGATCCCATGGCATAGTGTTTATGAACTGACACGCAAAACGACACCAGATTCAAAAATTAGAATCTTTCAACTTAAATTATTATATACAATTCTTGCTACCAATAGAATGTTATTTATATGGGGGGATACAATCTTCCCAGCTCTGGCAGATTTTGCTGTGAAGAGACAGAATCATTAGATCATTTGTTTTGGGTTCTGTCCATTTGTAGCTTGTTTTTGGACACAGGTCCAGGAATGGCTGAAGGATTGCAATATTTACCTGGAGCTAACCCTGCAGATAGCACTACTGGGTGATCTGAAAAGTCATAGTCAATCGATCAATAATATAATAATACTTTTAGCAAAAATGTTTATTTTTAATTCACAATCTGTAGAAGCAATGGAGAATAGAAAGGTTCAGAACTTTTGTAAAACATCAAGTACGGTTGAAATATACAGTGGGGAAAAAAAGTATTTAGTCAGCCACCAATTGTGCAAGTTCTTCCACTTAAAAAGATAAGAGAGGCCTTGTAATTTTCATCATAGGTACACGTCAACTATGACAGACAAAATGAGAAGAAAAAAATCCAGAAAATCACATTGTAGGATTTGTAATGAATTTATTTTGCAAATTATGGTGGAAAATAAGTATTTGGTCAATAACAAAAGTTTCTCAATACTTGTTATATACGCTTTGTTGGCAATGACACAGGTCAAACGTTTTCTGTAAGTCTTCACAAGGTTTTCACCACACTGTGCTGGTATTTTGGCCCATTCCTCCATGCAGATCTCCTCTAGAGCAGTGGACGTTTGGGGCTGTCGCTGGCAACACGGACTTTCAACTCCTCCAAAGATTTTCTATGGGGGTTGAGATCTGGGAGACTGGCTAGGCCACTCCGGACCTTGAATGCTTCTTACGAAGCCACTCCTTCTTGCCCGGGGCGGTGTGTTTGTATCATTGTCATGGCTGAAAGACCCATCCACGTTTCATCTTCACATGCCCTTGCTGATGGAAGGAGGTTTTCACTCAAAATCTCACGATTACATGGCCCCATTCATTCTTTCCTTTACACGGATCCAGTTCGGCCCTGGTCCCTTTCGCAAGAAAAAACAAGCCCCAAAGCATGATTTTCCACCACCTCCATGCTTCACAGTAGGTATGGTGTCTTTGGCTGCAACTCATCATTCTTTGTCCCTCCAAACACGACGAGTTAGTTTTTAAAATACACCAAAAATTATAATTTGGTCCATCTGCCCCATATGGACATTCTCACCAATCCTCTATCTGTATCATCGCACATGCACTTTAGCAAACTTCAGACGGGCCCTGGACATGTACTGCATAAGCAGGGGAACACTCTCGCACTGCAGGCTTTGAGTCCCTGGCTGTGTATGTTTTACTGATGTAGCTTTGTTACTTTGGTCCCCGCTCTCCTGCAGGTCATTCACTTAGGTCCCCCCGTGTGGTTTCTGGGATTTTTGTGCTCCCGTTCTTGTGATCATTTTGACTCCCGACGGGTGGATCTTGCGTGGAGCCCCAGATGCGGAGATTATCAGTGGTCTTGTAATGTCTTTGCGCATTTTCTATAATTTGGCTCCCATCATTTGATTTCTTCAAACCAAGCGCTTACTATTGCAGATTCAGTCTTCCCAGCCTGGTGCCGTTCTACAATGTTGTTTCTGGTGTCCCTTTGACGCTCTTTGGTCTTGGCCCTATAGGTGATTTTGGAGTGTGACGTTTGAGTTGTGCAGGTGTCCTTTTATCTTGAAACAAATTCAAACGGTGCCATAATCAGGTAACGGAGTGGAGGACAGAGATCCTCTTAAAGAAGAAGTTACAGGTCTGTGGAGCCAGAAATCTTGCTTCTTTTAGGTGACCAAATACGTATTTTCCACCATAATTAATTTGTCCAAAAATTCCAAAGAATCCTACCATGTTATTTTTCGGATTTTTCTCTCAATTTTTTGTCTGTCATAGTTTTACGTGTACCTATGATGAAATTACAGGCTCTCTCATCTTTTAAGTGGGAGAACTTGCACAATTGGTGGCTGACTACATACTTTTTTCCCCCACTGTATATGGCAAATAGAAATCCAATATGGGATGGTGTTAAGAGATAGATGGAGGTATTGTAATGGAATTGAGGGATGGGACTAATAACCAACTAACAACAACTAATAACACACATAACTAATAATCTAAAGCATACTGTGTCCCATAATAAGTATATAGGTTGTAGGTTTTAGAGCTTTTGTGAAAGAGCACGTTAGACAGTATGGCATATAGAGCAAACTGGATGGACAAAATGAAATGATCGGAGAGGTTGAGAGTAGAAGAAGTTCAGGAGCAAAAACAATAAAATTATTATTTGGTAAAATTAACTCTGTCCATAAGGGTAGATAGAGTATAGACCGGAAGTAGAGGCCTGGCATTGGTGTTCACTAATTTACTCCAAGTAGGGAAGGGAGGGTGGGGTTGAAAAGTAATAATTGGAGTATAATATATAAAAAAACATGGGGGATTGGAAGTATGCGCCAATTACATTGATAGGAAGATACAATTATCTGCAATATTAAGCTGATTATCCCCCCCCCCCCCCCCCCCCCCCCCACAAAAAAAAAAAAGGTCCTGTCTCATAATGGCCAAGCTGACCACTGAAAGTGGTCCTGTCCTCATAAACCTGTTCCACGCTGGCCAGCCCTCCAGTGCCAGCCCCCGCGTCCCTATACTCCACAACCATGAGAGGAATCAGACACACACACACAACAATGGTCATCTGAGGACAATGACCCCTAAGAATAACCAATATACCAGACAACAGCAACATCAACGTATTGACATCCTTATCACGTCCCATCAAAAAAAGTATTCGTCCATATCCATATACAAATATCCATAAACAGCGTCTCATTATAGGCACACTTTCCATGTTGCAGTTTGTGGAATAACAACAAGTAAAGAGAGAACAAGAGTTGTTAATGTTCTTACTCACCGTTGCCAAAACAGAAAAAATAGTCCCATGTCATCTTGTTATATTCCAAGTATAATTTTGAGAACCTGAAATAACTGATGATGGGTAGCCGATTTATACAAGCACAAACCCCTTTTGAGAATCTCAGCCTAATTCAATCTCCCTTGACCTAAAGGACCCATAGGGCCACAATGATAATGAAGCCAGTCATGCCACACGGCCATTACATTGATTGTCTAGTCTAACTGTAGATCTGTATAAAATATATTTTGCCCCAGGGTTACTGTTCCATTCCAACGGCTCAGGCTGGTTACACAATTGGACAATGGGTGAAGAGAGAAAATACACAAAAACAAATAAGATCGAAATTCCCTCCGCATGGGAAATACTTGCTTTAATTGGACTTCCTTTAATTTGTTGGCGTTGAGCTGAGCCATGACCCATCCTTTCAAAGCATTTCATGGCTACAGACGTGTCTTCCATAGACATTCTTCCAAGAGTCTTGATGAGCATCCAGGTGCTTTTGGCACTTGTAGTCACCTTTTTTTGGACGACATGGGTTCCCATTTATGCCTGGCAAAACCAAACACTGCATTCCACGTAAGAACCCTCATACCAACGTCAAGCAATGGTGGTTGTGGTGTGTGGATGGTTTTGGGATGCTTTCTCCCAGGACCTTGCGACTTGCCCTTAATAGAAGGAACCATGAATTCTGCTCTGTATCAGAGAATCTAAAGGAGAATGTCTACCATCCGTCTGTGAGCTGAAGCTGAATCGCAGCTGGTCATGCAGCAAGACCAATGATCCAACCACAAACAGTCAGTCTACATGAAAATGGCTACAAAGCAACAAATTGGAAGTTTTGGAATGGCCAGTCCAAGTCCAACCCTAATCCCAATTGAGATGTTGTAGGCAATGACCTTGAAACGACAGTTCATGCTTGAAAACTCCAGCACGTCACTGAGTTAGCAGTTTTCTGCATGGAGAGTGGGCCAAATTCCTCCACCAGCTGATGTGAGGACTGACAACACTACGGAAACATTTGGTTGGAGTCATTCCAGCTAAAGGTGGCAATAAAACAATCAGTTATTGAGTGATGTGCATTTACTTTTTTAGCCCAGGGGAATTGGTTAATTAGGTGAATTCCTTTGTTAATTCAATAAATAAAATAAGTTGATCCCTTTAGTTTTTTTTCAAAATTGAGCCCAATAAATGCTTCACGAGTTCAAGTAACAGACACATCTCAACATCAAACTGTTCAGAGGGACACTGCGTGAATCAGGCCTTCATGGTCGAATTGCTGCAAAGAAACCACTACTAAAGGACACCAATAAGACTTGCTTGGGCCAAGAAACACGAGCAATGGACATTAGACCGGTGGAAATCTGTCCTTTGGTCTGATGAGTCCAAATTAGAGATTTTTTGTTCCAACCGCTGTGTCTTTGTGAGACGCAGAGTAGGTGAACGGATGATCTCCGCATGTGTAGTTCCCTCCGTGAAGCATGGAGGAGGAGGTTGTGATGGTGTGGGGGTTGCTTTGCTGATGACACTGTCAGTGATTTATTTAGTATTTAAGGCACACTTAACCAGCATGGCTACCACAGCATTCTGCAGCGATACACCGTCCCATCTGGTTTGCGCTTAGTGGGACTATCATTTGTTTTTCTTCAGGACAATGACCCAAAACACAACTCCAGGCTGTGTAAGGGCTATTTGACCAGGAAGGAGAGTGATGGAGTGCTGCATCAGATGATATGGCCTCCACAATCACTCGACCTCAACCCAATTGAGATGGTTTGGGACGAGTCGGATCGCAGAGTGAAGGAAAAGCAGCCAACAAGTGCTCAGCATATGTGGGAACTCTCAGCCTTCAACACCATACTACCCTCCAAGCTCATCATTAAGCTCGGGGCCCTGGGTCTGAATCCCGCCCTGTGCAACTGGGTCCTGGACTTCCTGATGGGCCGCCCCAGGTGGTGAAGGTAGGGAAACAACACCTCCACTTCGCTGATCCTCAACACTGGGGCCCCACAAGGGTGCGTGCTCAGCCCCCTCCTGTACTCCCTGTTCACCCATGACTGCGTGGCCAAGCACGCCTCCAACTCAATCATCAAGTTTGCAGATGACACAACAGTAGTAGGCCTGATTAGCCGATGTGCCCTTGAGCACTTAGCCCTAATTGCTCCTGTAAGTCGCTCTGGATAAGAGCGTCTGCTAAATGACTAAAATGTAAATGTAAATATATGTGTATGCGACCAATAAAATGTGATTTGATTTGATTGTTATATTGTCCATACAGGAGACAGTCATCTGGGCGGTGGGTTCGAGGCCAACAGCAGCACGGAGTCCTTTGAGCTGGTCACAGAGGACAACCAATGAAGGAAAGCCCAGCAGCAGAAGGTTACAGTTGCAGAGGGGCTACTCAGAAGGTACAGTGCAGAGGGGCTACTCAGAAGGTACAGTGCAGAGGGGCTACTCAGAAGGTACAGTACAGTGCAGAGGGGCTACTCAGAAGGTACAGTGCAGAGGGGCTACTCAGAAGGTACAGTGCAGAGGGGCTACTCAGAAGGTACAGTACAGAGGGGCTACTCAGAAGGTACAGTGCAGAGGGGCTACTCAGAAGGTACAGTACAGAGGGGCTACTCAGAAGGTACAGTGCAGAGGGGCTACTCAGAAGGTACAGTGCAGAGGGGCTACTCAGAAGGTACAGTGCAGAGGGGCTACTCAGAAGGTACAGTACAGAGGGGCTATCGAAGGTACGTGCAGAGGGCTACCAGAAGGTACAGTACAGAGGGGCTACTCAGAAGGTACAGTGCAGAGGGGCTACTCAGAAGGTACAGTGCAGAGGGGCTACTCAGAAGGTACAGTGCAGAGGGGCTACTCAGAAGGTACAGTGCAGAGGGGCTACTCAGAAGGTACAGTGCAGAGGGGCTACTCAGAAGGTACAGTGCAGAGGGGCTACTCAGAAGTACAGTGCAGAGGGGCTACTCAGAAGGTACAGTACAGAGGGGGCTACTCAGAAGGTTACAGTGCAGAGGGGCTACTCAGAAGGTACAGTACAGAGGGGCTACTCAGAAGGTACAGTGCAGAGGGGCTACTCAGAAGGTACAGTGCAGAGGGGCTACTCAGAAGGTACAGTGCAGAGGGGCTACTCAGAAGGTACAGTGCAGTGCAGAATGTTATGTACCCACTGCAGTTCCTGTTGATGATGTTAATGTACCCACTGCAGTGTCCCTGTTTGATGATGTTATGTTATGTTACCCACTGCAGTGTCCCTGTTTGATGATGTAATGTAATGTACCCACTGCAGTGTCCCTGTTTGATGATGTAATGTTATGTACCCACTGCAGTGCCCCTGTTTGATGATGTAATGTTATGTTACCCACGGCAGTGTCCCTGTTTGATGATGTAATGTAATGTACCCACTGCAGTGTCCCTGTTTGATGATGTAATGTTATGTACCCACTGCAGTGTCCCTGTTTGATGATGTAATGTTATGTTACCCACTGCAGTGCCGTTGACAGAAGATGAGTGGGTCCCTCTAGAGCTGTGCTTTGGGATGCCCCTCTTCAGCTCCGAGCTCAACCGCAAAATATGCCGAAAGATCGCCTCGCACGGCCTCTTTAGCAAAGACAGGTACTGGTAGAACAACATAAAGAGTCTGCTTTTTATGTCCTGGGTGGGAAAGTGAAAAAGACTAGAGTATGTTTTTATGTGAAAAACTGTCAATTTAAAGGAAGGATGGTTGTGTAATTCTTTGTTGTTCCAGCCTTCAAGACTTACTTCATTCCAGCCGAAAACTATCATTGAAGGTTCTAAGTTTTGTTCAGTCATTCCAGGTAAGAGCTTCTTTCCATTGTCTTCCACCTCGCTGCCACTTGAAGAGCGCTCAAATCAAACCAGCCAGTCTCATAATGCCAATCTGAACACTGAAAGTGTTTTTTTTTATATACTAAGAGGACCGTTATTAGCATGTTTTAACCACTCCTATGTAAATGGTAGATTATCTGACACTCAAGAAGAAGGTCTGATCTCATTATTACTGAAACAGGATACAAGTGGAAAATATAAAGATCCAGTCCATTTAAAAAATTGGAGGCCCCTTACACTTCAGTGTTGTGATGTAAAAATTCTAGCAAAATGTATAACGCATAGAATTAAAAAGGTATTGTCGTATATTATTCATTCTAATCAGACAGGTTTTTTACATGGACGATACATTGGAGATAATATAAGGCAAGTATTGGAAACAATAGAACACTATGGAAAATATGGGAAACCAGGCCTGCTATTCATAGCAGACTTCGAAAAGGCATTTGATAAAGTACGACTGGGGTTTATATATAAATGCCTGGAGCATTTCAATTTTGGAGAATCTCTTATAAAATGGGTCACAATCATGTATAGTAATCCTAGGTGTAAAATAGTAAATAATGGCTATTTCTCAGAAAGTTTTAAACTGTCAAGAGGAGTGAAACAAGGTTGTCCATTATCGGCATATCTATTTATTATGGCCATCGAGATGTTAGCTATTAAAATCAGATCCAACAATAATATCAGGGGATTAGAAATCCAGGGCTTAAAAACAAAGGTGTCATTGTACGCTGATGATTCATGTTTTCTTTTCAATCCACAACTTGAATCCCTCCACAGCCTCATAGAGGATCTAGATACATTTTCTAACCTCTCTGGATTACAACCAAATTATGACAAATGTACTATATTACATATTGGATCACTAAAAAATAAAAGTTTTACATTACCATGTAGTTTACCAATAAAATGGTCTGATGGTGATGTGGATATACTCGGAATACATATCCCAAAGGAAATAAATGATCTCACTTCAATACATTTTAATAAAAAGTTAGCAAATATAGATCTTACTACCATGGAAAGGTAAATACCTGTCAATTTGTGGAAAAATCACCCTGACTAACTCTTCAGTATTATCCCAGTTTACCTATTTGCTTATGGTCTTGCCTACGCCTAGCGAACAGTTTTTTAAATTATATGAGAAAAAAATATTCAATTTTATTTGGAACGGCAAGCCAGACAAAATTAAAAGGGCCTATTTATGTAATGAATATGAATTCGGAGGACAGAAATTATTAAATATTAAAGCATTAGACCTATCACTAAAAGCTTCAGTCATACAAAAGTGGAAGAGGAAAGTGGAAGGGGGAGAAAGTAAGGAACTTGTCTGTCGGCCCTGCATTAAAGAACATAATTGGTTAAGGAAAACTGTGATAAATAAAAAAGTAAATCAGTTTCACTTAAGGACCAAAGGATTGACAGCCGTCCCATATAGATTGCAAAATAGTTGGAAGAGATTTTTGACGTACCGATCCCATGGCATAGTGTTTATGAACTGACACGCAAAACGACACCAGATTCAAAAATTAGAATCTTTCAACTTAAATTATTATATACAATTCTTGCTACCAATAGAATGTTATTTATATGGGGGATACAATCTTCCCAGCTCTGCAGATTTTGCTGTGAAGAGACAGAATCATTAGATCATTTGTTTTGGTTCTGTCCATTTGTAGCTTGTTTTTGGACACAGGTCCAGGAATGGCTAAAGGATTGCAATATTTACCTGGAGCTAACCCTGCAGATAGCACTACTGGGTGATCTGAAAAGTCATAGTCAATCGATCAATAATATAATAATACTTTTAGCAAAAATGTTTATTTTTAATTCACAATCTGTAGAAGCAATGAGAATAGAAAGGTTCAGAACTTTTGTAAAACATCACAGTACGGTTGAAATATACAGTGGGGAAAAAAGTATTTAGTCAGCCACCAATTGTGCAAGTTCTTCCACTTAAAAAGATGAGAGAGGCCTGTAATTTTCATCATAGGTACACGTCAACTATGACAGACAAAATGAGAAGAAAAAAATCCAGAAAATCACATTGTAGGATTTGTAATGAATTTATTTGCAAATTATGGTGGAAAATAAGTATTTGGTCAATAACAAAAGTTTCTCAATACTTTGTTATATACCCTTTGTTGGCAATGACACAGGTCAAACGTTTTCTGTAAGTCTTCACAAGGTTTTCACACACTGTTGCTGGTATTTTGGCCCATTCCTCCATGCAGATCTCCTCTAGAGCAGTGATGATTTTCTATGGGGTTGAGATCTGGAGACTGGCTAGGCCACTCCAGGACCTTGAAATGCTTCTCACGAAGCCACTCCTTCGTTGCCCGGGCGGTGTGTTTGGGATCATTGTCATGCTGAAAGACCCAGCCACGTTTCATCTTCAATGCCCTTGCTGATGGAAGGTGGTGGAGGTTTTCACTCAAAATCTCACGATACATGGCCCCATTCATTCTTTCCTTTACACGGATCAGTCGTCCTGGTCCCTTTGCAGAAAAACAGCCCCAAAGCATGATGTTTCCACCCCCATGCTTCACAGTAGGTATGGTGTCTTTGGATGCAACTCAGCATTCTTTGTCCTCCAAACACGACGAGTTGAGTTTTTACCAAAAAGTTCTATTTTGGTTCCATCTGACCATATGACATTCTCCCAATCCTCTTCTGGATCATCCAAATGCACTTTAGCAAACTTCAGACGGGCCTGGACATGTACTGGCATAAGCAGGGGGACACGTCTCGCACTGCAGGATTTGAGTCCCTGGCGGTGTAGTGTGTTACTGATGGTAGGCTTTGTTACTTTGGTCCCAGCTCTCTGCAGGTCATTCACTAGGTCCCCCCGTGTGGTTCTGGGATTTTTGCTCACCGTTCTTGTGATCATTTTGACCCCACGGGGTGAGATCTTGCGTGGAGCCCCAGATCGAGGGAGATTATCAGTGGCCTTGTATGTCTTCCATTTCCTAATAATTGCTCCCACAGTTGATTTCTTCAAACCAAGCTGCTTACCTATTGCAGATTCAGTCTTCCCAGCCTGGTGCAGGTCTACAATTTTGTTTCTGGTGTCCTTTGACAGCTCTTTGGTCTTGGCCATTGTGGAGTTTGGAGTGTGACTGTTTGAGGTTGTGGACAGGTGTCTTTTATACTGATAACAAGTTCAAACATGTGCCATTAATACAGGTAACGAGTGGAGGACAGAGGAGCCTCTTAAAGAAGAAGTTACAGGTCTGTGAGAGCCAGAAATCTTGCTTCTTTGTAGGTGACCAAATACTTATTTTCCACCATAATTTGCAAATAAATTCAAAAGAAATCCTACAATGTGATTTTCTGGATTTTTTTTCTCAATTTGTCTGTCATAGTTGACGTGTACCTATGATGAAAATTACAGGCCTCTCTCATCTTTTTAAGTGGGAGAACTTGCACAATTGGTGGCTGACTAAATACTTTTTCCCCCCCACTGTATATGGCAAATAGAAATCCAATATGGATGGTGTTAAGAGATAGATGGGAGGTATTGAATGGAATTGAAGGATGGGACTAATAACAACTAACAACAACTAATAACAACAAGATAACTAATAATGTAAAGCATACTGTGTCCATAATAAGTATATAGGTTGTAGGTTGAGAGCTTTTGTGAAAGAGCACAGTTAGAAAGATATGGCATATAGAAGCAAACCGGATGGACATCATGAAAATGATCGGAGAGGTTGAGAGTAGAAGAAGTTCAGGAGCAAAAACAAATAAAATATAATTATTGTAAAATTAACTCTGTCCATAAGGTGTAGATAGTAAGTATAGACCGGAAGTAGAGGCCTGGGCATTGTTGTTCACTAATTTACTCCAAGTAGGGAAAGGATGGCGTGGTTGAAAAGTAATAAAGGGGAGTATATATATATAAAACATGGGGGATTGGAAGTGATGCAGACAATTACATTGATAGAAGATACAATCTATCTGCAATATTAAGCTGATCTATATCTAAAAAAAGTGGTCCTGTCTCATAATGCCAATCTGACCACTGAAAGTGGTCCTGTCTCATAATGCCAATCTCATAAACCTGTTTCCACGCTGCCAGCCCTCCAGTGCCCAGCCAGCGGCCCTATACGCCTACAGACCATGAGAGGAATCAGACACACAAAACACAACAAATGGTCATGCTGAGGACAATGACACCTAAAGAATAAACCAATACCAGACAACAGCAACATCAACGATAATTACATCCTTATCACTGTCCTCATCAAAAAAAGTAATGCGCAAATATCCATAAACAAATATCCATAAACAGCGGCTCATTATCGGCACACTTTCCATCTTGGCAGTTGTGGAATACAACAAAGGAAAGAGAGAACAGAGTTGTTAATGTTCATTACTCACACGTTGTCAAAACAGAAAATAGTCCCCATGTCATCCTTGTTATATTCCAATATCATTTGAGGAACCTGCAATAACTGATGATGGGTATCCGATTTATACATCACAACACCTTTTGAAAAGAATACCTCATCCTAATTCATAATCTCCCTTGACACTAAAGGACACATAGGGCCACATGATAATGAAGCCCAGTATGCAGACACGGCCATTACAGTGATTGTCTAGTCTAACTGTAGATCTGTATAAAATATAATTTTGCACCAGGGTTAGCTGTTCCAACGCTCAGGCTGGGTTACACAATGTGGACAAGGGGTGAAGAGAGAAAATACACAAAAACAAATAAGATCGAAATGTCCCGTCCCATGGGAAAGTACTGCTTTAATATGGACTTCCTTTAATTTGTTGGCGTTGAGCTGAGCCATGACCAGCCGTTCAAAGCATTTCATGGCTACAGATGTGTCTGTCCATAGAACATTCTTCCAAGAGTCTTGACGATCATCCAGGTGCTTTTTGGCAAACTTGAGTCAACTTTTTGGACGACATGGGTCCTATTTATGCCTGGCGAAAACCAAACACTGCATTCCACAGTAAGAACCTCATACCAACGGTCAAGCATGGTGGTGGTGGTGGTGTGATGGTTTGGGGATGCTTTGCTGCCTCAGGACCTGGACGACTTGCCTTAATAGAAGGAACCATGAATTCTGCTCTGTATCAGAGAATTCTACAGGAGAATGTCAGACCATCCGTCTGTGAGCTGAAGCTGAAGCGCAGCTGGGTCATGCAGCAAGACAATGATCCAAAACACACTATCAAGTCTACATGAAAATGGCTAAAAAGCAACAAATTGGAAGTTTTGGAATGGCCTAGTCAAAGTCCAGACCTAATCCCAATTGAGATGTTGTAGCAGGACTTGAAACGAGCAGTTCATGCTTGAAAACCCACACGTCACTGAGTTAAAGCAGTTCTGCATGGAAGAGTGGGCCAAAATTTCTCCAGAGCGACGTGAGAGACTGATCAACAACTACAGGAAACATTTGGTTGGAGTCATTCCAGCTAAAGGTGGCACAATCAGTTATTGAGTGTAAGGGGGCAGTTACTTTTTTACACAGGGGAATTGGGTTAATTAGGTGAATTCACTTTGTTAATTCAATAAATAAAATAAGTATCCATTTAGTTTTTTTGTTATTTGTAAACTCAGGTTCCCTTTATCTAATATTAGGTTTTGGTTGAAGATCTGATAACATTCAATATCAAAAATATGCAAAAATAGAGAAAATCAGAAAGGGGTCAAATACTTTTTCATGGCACTGTATATGAAAGAGCTGGTTGATTAGTAGTAACATACTACATGAAAGAGCTGGCTCATTAGTACTAGCAACATACTACATGAAAGTACCTGGATTGTGTTCATAAGGGCACGCAACAGAAAACGTTTTTAAATGTTTTGCAATGGAAAATTAAAATTGCGTTTCATATTGGACAATTCCAGGTATTTCTTATTGGACAATTCCAGGTATTTCTTATTGGACAATTCCTGCCCTGTTTCATTCCGGTATCTTCCTTTTTGTGCCTAATGAACACGACCCTGTACTGTGTTATACACAACTGACCTTTGACCCCTGACCTGTGTGTCCTACAGGATGGCAGCCAGGGTCAGCCCGACCCTGACAGTGGAGTGTCCGGTCCTCTCAGCCAGCCCCCGGCCGAGTCTGGCGTTCCGCTGCCCGCTCTCAACCTCCTCTTCAAGGACGGACAGCTGAGGGAGTGGAGTGGACGAGCACCTCAACTTCTCCACATCTCAGCCCTGCAGAAGGACCAGACCTTATAGACCCCTCCACATCTCAGCCCTGCAGAAAGACCAGACCTTATAAAACATGTCACCTTATCTCAAATACTAATTGAACCACATAACCCCCCCCCCCACAACAACTATAACTTCCTGTCTCTGCCCTGCAAAACACCAGCCCACAGTAGCCCCACCCACCCTAAGCCATCCCCAAGACTTGGTGGTGTTACTTTAGCGAGGCCATGAGGAGACTGTCTGTACTGGTCTGTCATTCACAGTGGTGATGTCTGGACCCATTAGGGCAGTGGTTCCCAACCTTTTTTGATTACTGTACCACCGACTTAATTTTGCTCTCTCCAGATTACCCCTTGAAGTAACCCCCTCATGTGCATTTTACCATTAGGTCTATAGTCTCATGAGTCTTCTCAAGTACCCCCTGTGGATAGGCCAATTACCCCCTGTGGATAGGCCAATTACCCCCAGGGGTCCTAGTACCCCCTGTGGATAGGCCAATTACCCCCAGGGGTCCTAGTACCCCAGGTTGGGAACCACTGCATTAGGGCATCCAGAAAAAAAACAGGAAACTATCAAAAGTATTGACGATGCTGTAATATTGAGACCATAGAGTTCAACAGAAGGTCCCTTCCCTTTTTTAAAGTGTATGTTCAATGGGTAATACTTTTGCTGAATAATACAATCATTCAATTATTCATTCAATGTTCAAGAAGATTCACAAATAACCTTATTTTTTGCTGACCTAAAAGCACGTGTTTGTGATGGACTAGAATGGGTTGACTACTTTGTGCATCATCGGACCAAGCCTGTAGAGCAGGCAACCCCCTGTTGGAGGCCCTCGGATCAATTCCCACCCTTCCCTATTACAGTCCAGCAGGAGAATGGGGTCGTGCATCAGCAGGGTTTTCTCTTGTTACGTCAGTCACCTGATAGTCACTCAATTAGCCCATGTCTGCTAACATTGGTAAGTTAGTTTAGCGGCCAGCTATCTAAACTTTTTGTAGGCCTAATCATGGTCGAATTACCGACTGAGGGTCCCCATTGATTTTGTTAGTCACTCTCATTCAGATATATTAGAACATGTAAACGTTTCTCCCCACCCCTGTGGAAAAATGTGTAGAATTGCAGGAAATTTAACATTTAAAAAGACCCGCGAGCCACTTCGGCCCCTCATGATGAGTTTGGATGTTTTGTGGCCCCCATCCCCATTAGAGTTGTCCATCCCTGCTCTAGGCATCCGGCCCTCCACACCAACCAACCCAACCCCTCCCTCTTCCTATTGACCTAAGTTTAGTAACCCACCCACTCCGTCTCTAGGCGTCCGGCCCTCCACACCAACCAACCCAACCCCTCCCTCTTCCTATTGACCTAAGTTTAGTAACCCACCCACTCCGTCTCTAGGCGTCCGGCCCTCCACACCAACCAACCCAACCCCTCCCTCTTCCTATTGACCTAAGTTTAGTAACCCACCCACTCCGTCTCTAGGCGTCCGGCCCTCCACACCAACCAACCCAACCCCTCCTTCTTCCTATTGACCTAAGTTTAGTAACCCACCCACTCCGTCTCTAGGCGTCCGGCCCTCCACACCAACCAACCCAACCCCTCCCTCTTCCTATTGGCCTAAGATTAGTAACCCACCCACCCCATGCATGATACCACTGCACAAAATATTTCAGAAAATACCTACTTATTATGAAGGTGTCTTTTTAAATGGCACGGTGGGATTAGTGTGATGCTCTCCTCTTCTATTGCCTGTGGACCAATCATACAGCATGTTGACTAAAAAACCTGTTCCATTTTCGTTTACTTTTAACCATGAAGGTATTGTTGTTGCTTGTGTGATGAACTGGAGGCTGGTCGGTTGTTGGGGAGCGGTTGGTTTTAGGTCGACCTCGGATCAGAGGAGAGATTGACTTGACCTAGCTACCAGCCTCCCCCCCACTGCTTTATGCAAAACATTTCTCTGTTTGACTGAGGGAACACCAAAGACCACATTTTTTGTTTGTGGTAAGATTTTTCTTTTGGTTTTTACTTACAATTATTTGGTGTCTTTTATTTGTATGTTTCTGCCTTATTATTATGGTATCATGCCTTTTCATGCCCAGTACACTCCTATGTCTTTATCTCTGGCCCCAGTCCAGTCCTATACAGACAGGGCATTCTACTTCCTTGGCCAGTTTGAGATCTCTGTTTACAGCAACGGCTATCGTTACTTAGTGACCGCGGCAATTCTGGTTCCGACCTACCTGGGTTTAACTAGTATCTGTTTTCTTTATACCTGGCTGGAGTAACCAGATGGGCTGAGTTTGCACTTTTGCGACTATTGTCATTTGCGCAATAAAGCTCATCTAAAATATTTGAAGAAAACAAATACTATTTGAACCCAGGTCTGCTTGGGTTATCCAGACAGCACCAAAGCCTGGACCTAGTCCCTCACAGAGAATAACCATATTAGAATCTAATGTGTTCTATCTATGATGCTGTCTATTCATAGTGGGGAGTTCTTCCCTGTCAGAATATATAATACTCCTTGGACCGTAGTAGTAGTAGTAGTAGTAGTAGTAGCAGTAGTAGTAGTAGTAGTAGTAGTAGTAGTAGTAGTAGTAGTAGTAGTAGTAGTAGTAGTAGTAGTAGTGTAGTAGTAGTAGTAGTAGTAGTAGTAGTAGTAGGTAGTAGTAAGCAGTAGCAGTAGCAGTAGTAGTAGTAGTAGTAGCAGTAGTAGTAGACGACTCAGTAATACAGTTCTACTCCGTTCTAGCTTCCTCTCTTTTTATCTGGATGGATGTGTTCAGTCTCCCCATTATGTTCAGTCTCCCATTATGATCAGTCTCCCCATTATGTTCAGTCTCCCATTATGTTCAGTCTCCCATTATGATCAGTCTCCCCATTATGTTCAGTCTCCCATTATGTTCAGTCTCCCATTATGTTCAGTCTCCCCATTATGTTCAGTCTCCCATTATGTTCAGTCTCCATTATGTTCAGTCTCCCCATTATGTTCAGTCTCCCCATTATGATCAGTCTCCCATTATGTTCCGTCTCCCCATATGATCAGTCTCCCCCATTATGTTCAGTCTCCCCTTATGTTCAGTCTCCCCATTATGTCAGGCTCCCCATTATGTTCAGTCTCCCCATTATGTTCAGTCTCCCCATTATGTCAGTCTCCCCATTATGTTCAGTCTCCCATATCAGTCTCCCCATTATGTTCAGTCTCCCATTATGTTCAGTCTCCCATTATGTTCAGTCTCCCATTATGTTCAGTCTCCCATTATGTTCAGTCTCCCCATTATGTTCAGTCTCCCCATTATGTTCAGTCTCCCCATTATGATCAGTCTCCCCATTATGTTCAGTCTCCCATTATGTTCAGTCTCCCCATTATGTTCAGTCTCCCATTATTTGTCAGTCTCCCATTATGTTCAGTCTCCCATTATGTTCAGTCTCCCTTATTTCAGTCTCCCATTATGTTCAGTCTCCCATTATGTTCAGTCTCCTTATCCCATTATGTTCAGTCTCCCATTATGTTCAGTCTCCCCATTATGTCAGTCTCCCATTATGTTCAGTCTCCACCATTATGACTCCAATGTCGTCTCCCTATGTTCATAACCCATATTAGTGTTGTCTCTATGTGATTATCACATCTCTAAC